CGCAACAGTTAATTTTAGAAAATCAAGTTTACATACTTTCTCCAAATTTTGTGTCTAGCACAAAAATATTTAATAAAATATGGATTTTTATTTTAATCAAATTTTTCTTAGCGCTTTTCTTACCTTTAGTGTGCCTACGTGCCAACTCGTACTAAATAAAGAATTTCAAACATAGTGCAGAACTCGAGTGTCACGTGTTATCACAGGATTTGAATAAATTCTGAGATGCAAACGGATTTTAAGCAAATCCACTTACGTCTGATCTGTTAGTTTTGATAAATCTTGTTTTATAATACAAAATAAAGTTCGATGAAGAGTTTTCTTTAAAGAAGAGCATTCAGAACTTTCTTTAAAAAAAGTATATAAACTACTTAGAAAAATGCAAAACGCTTTAAATTTTCAAGCTTTCAAATCGCACTTTTTTAATAAAGCTACCAAATACGATTCACTGCAAAATTATTAAAAAAAATTTAAATGGTTTTCGCTCATGCGCAGTATTAAAGAATTACTTTAAATACTCATATCTTGGACAATTTGTAACGATTATATTTTAAAATTTTGAAATGATATTTTTATTATTTATTAAAAATTGCTCCAAAAAGTTTGCTTAATTTTATTGAATATTTTTACAGTTATAGTAAGAAAATGTAAAAAAAAAAAAAAAAAAACAGTCGTTTTAAATTTCTTTTTTAAAAGTTAGTCTCCCCCCCCCCTGGTTTACGAAATTTTATGCCATTTTTGCATATAATAACGAAAGTAATTGATAAAATTAACAAGTTTGTTGCTACATATTCTGGCATAGGATGATCAAAAAAACTCTTTTTCGTTCGTAATTTCTTGCCGATCCCTCAAACTTCTGAAGGCTGTAAAATTTATTGATAAGTATGAAAAATCTCTGCTCAACTCCTTTAAAGTTAAAAAATAATTCTCGTAGCATTTCTTGAGGAATTTGAAAAAAATATAAAGAACTGAAAGCGTTTCTTTCATTATTGTTGTATATATAGGATAGTGTATATTGTATTATAAGAAGAAAGCAAAAATAAATGAATAAAAGGTTTAGTTTTTAAAAAAAAGTTCTTGTTGAAACTACTCAAAAAGGTTGTAAAACTGAATAAAACAAATAAAAAATTTTAAAAATTGAAAAACAAGAAATTATTTTAGCTAGTTTCGACCCTTGAAAATTATATATTCGGCAACTTCCCTCAAATTACCCCATTGCTTTATCTTGAACAATGATTTCGAATAAACTTTGAGTAAAAATCTTCCTAGTGATCTTCTAAATAATAGATGTTCGTATGAAGACCTTTTTTGTGAATATTGTTCTAAGTCCACTAGTTAAAAAATGAAATTAAACTGAGTTTCATATTCATGCAAGTCAAACAAGTATACTTCTAACTTATTTTTGTGCCAAAATGGACAAGGAACTCAAAACAGAACAGAAGTCACGCAAAAAAGACAAGATAAGAAAAACAATAAACTCATTAGACTGTATCTCAAAATGAACAAAGACCACCATTCGAATATGGCTTTCATATATGTAGGTCATTATTAAATGAATATCCTTAATTAATCTTGACGAATAAGAATATAAAGAGAATCTTACTTTGTGCACGTTTGCAGTTTTTATAGGGCGGTATTACTCAATCATATAATATTATAAACTCAAAGATAAATATTATGTTCAAAGAATTTGGGCACCATTGTCTTAGAATACTGACTGGAAAACATTTACAGTAGTTTCTGATCAATAAATTAAAAACAAGCAAAGTTCAAAAAAGTTACTCCCTCAATCATTCGTGTCATCTTAAATTACTTTCTCCTTAAAATTAATGATGTCAGATAAAAAGATGCCTTTGACTTAAGTTGCGATAAAAATTCATAACGTGTTTTCTGAACCGCGGAGAGCAGAGATGTGTTTACAGAAAATGGTCACGCCTTCGATCTGCTGTTTATCGAAGCCTTGTTGCAACGTAAGGGTTTAGTAACTTCTTTTACCTTGTCTTTTAGACTTGGTAAAAATAATGAATAATCAATATTTAAACTACCTTTAACATGAATTGCAAACAAAAATTAAGAATCTTCCGCTGGGCCGAAGCACCAATTCCTTTTTCAATTCGCTATATCTTTCAATGGCCAAGATGGGAATAGTATAAAATTTATGCCCCAATACGAAACCGTTGTCAACACCAGAGCTGCTTTCATTTTTTTTAAGCGACACAACCTCATAAATGGAAGGACTTTCTGCCAGCCTCAGTTTGCTTAGTAAACACAATTTGTTTACGAGATTTTTTTAAACATTGATTTACTAAAATAACCATAAATTTAGAAGAACGAAATAAATAAAATGATATTTATCATTCTAGGTCATTCCAAACACTTTAACAACCCTTATTCAACTGGGTAACTGAATTCCGCTCTTGAAATAATATGCATTATTAAGTATTTATATTTTGATAAATTAAATGTTATAGTGTCGGGTACGAAAATCATTTCATATTGTTAATTTTTATCTTTTATCATCACTATATAATCTATTTAAATAATGAGTTTGGAGATAAATCGGTAGATTTATAATATTTCAATTTTGAACAAATGTAATTTGTAAAAGAATTTCTATTTTAAGCATTGAAGCAAAATTAACTTTTCAAAGCATTTTTTTGACAAAACTAACCATACATATTTACTTTGTGTGGAATTGAAAACTACTAACACCTTCCTTTGTTCGCTGGACTGCTATGAATCCCTCACATGTGATATGCCTAATAAAGTATTCAAGAAAGAAATTTTAAAATATGGTTCTTAAGTGTTTAAGAGTACAGGAGAAAAATTTTAAAAAATTAGGCGTAAGAGAAAAAGGTAAAAAATTTAAGGACATCTGTTTATTGTGTCTTCGTTGAGACTTGTTTTAGTAAAAAAAAAAAAAAAAATCTTTATTGTTAAATGAAAATCGCTAATCAAGTGACACTTTTCAACAACTAAGTTTTTTTTGTTATAATATAAAAAGGTGAAATAACATTTTTATAGCACTAACTGTTTAAATAACAATACTTCAAACTTAATTTTTTGCTAATAACTTTACTTTTCTATTTTATTATTTTTCTTATGTAATACTGGAGAGAGTCCTTTGCACATTATAGCTAATGAATAGAAACCTTAGATTTCTTGGGTCTTCTTTTTCACGGGTAACAGCCCGTATTCGTGAGGACATGGTTTCTAGAAGTTTCTGGGAGTGCATTCATGCCTAGAGAACACCATGCAGTGTCTAAACACTTCGAAATCCTATAAATTAGATGGACGAGGAGATTGCTGACGGATGTGCTTTTCCAACATGTCCCCAAATTTTTTTATTATGTTAAGATCTGGATTTTGCGGTGGTCACGGAAGGTGTTGGAAGTCATACTGATGCTCATTGAACCAATTTTGTACGCTTCCGGCAGGATGTACAGTTGCATAATCGTCCATGATCTGTCCGTCAGACTCGAAACGAAAATCTGACATTCTAAGATGAATTTGATTTGCCAACTTGTTCAGGTGTTGCATGGCTTTTTGTTTATCTTTGAGAGACACCAAGACACCGCTACCATAACAGCAGAACACTTTTCACGTTATTATACTTCCTCAGACTAATTCATCGACTTCAACCGAATGAACCTTGTGTAATTATTTGTGTACAGTATAAATAGTTGAACGATCCGGTGGAATTCAGTACATACCGTTGATACCTGTAATAATAGGTACTATCTGCTGCGCTGATGACCATTTCAGGTTTTTCAAACGCATACTAGGGAGATATTTCTTTTTGGTTTATTAATTGTTGTAATAATAGTTTTTTTAAATCAAGTTGATTAGAAAATCCAAAAAAAAGAAAAAGAAAAGAAAAAGAAATCCAAAATTACTTATAATAGAAAATAGCAATACTGTAAGCACGTACCTAAAATGTAATTCCTTTTAAGAGATATTATTAATTTCCTAAGAAAAATTATTTATTTATTTTTTAAGATGCCCAGAAAAGTAAAAAAAAAAATGCATACTGTTGTATCTTAGACCTGTGTCTCTGCATTATACCGGTTCAAGGTATAAAGTATGTGCAACAGGTCCAGATAGCATAAATGAATATTGCGTGGACTAGGCCACATCCACTTCCGATATAAAAAAAAAATCATCATGTTCTTAGAAAAGCTATACATTTTTAAAAAATATTCCTGTAAATATTCTTTGCTATTAGGTTTATGATTAACTTCTTTTATTTTAGCTTATTTTTATCTTAACTTTTCTTTTAATTACATAAAAAACAAATATGTAATTAATATAATAAATTACATGGATATCCATATTGAATCAACTAAAAAGTTTGGAAGGAAGGAACTCAAAATGAGTGTTATCTTATGGCCCAAGGTGCAGCACCATATTTTCATATTTTTTGAAATGTTTGACAAAATTCATACATTTATAATAAACAAAGGTATAAACCTATTCCCATGAAACATTTAAGTTGGCTGAATTATTATATTTTTGGTATTAAAATAATTTACATTTTTAAACTCCTGACAAATAAGAATTACATTAGTATATCTAGCCTCAAGTATCAAATGTTACAGTTGTGGTTATTTCAAAATAATGCTAATGAAGTAATTTAAACTTATGTGTTCCGCATCAGTTGACTTGTCGCCTCCATTTTAGGAAGGCTTTTGAGTGATCAGCCCAAAACATAACCTCATCTATCTCACTATCACTGGCAATATGTCGAATCCACATATGTCGAATCCTATCGACTCCACCAAATTCATGCATACCAAAACCAAAACAAAAACTAGAAGGAAGAAAAAAAAGAAAAATTCCGCAGAAAGAAGATGAGGTGAAAGAACTGCATCACTCTCATCTGCCTTGACCTTCAGGAGGTACTCTTTAAGGTTCAATAGCTCCCAGGTACACAAGAAATCTTTTTATGTGGTTAAAAAAAAATTATGATGTAAGGTTCAAGGTCTCTGAAGAAAGTGGTTTTGAAACAAGGTGGAGGGGCATGAAATTACTCTTTAAGGGGAATATTTGATCTCCAAAATTCTCTCGGGATCATTAGAAGAACACCAAGAGCTGAAGAAGAAGAGATTGACTTCACGGGTATTCGGAAGAATCAGCGGGGTGCTACCTATCATTTAGTCGCAGGTGAGTGGATGTTATCAATCAGTCTATGGCATTGCCCAATCTTATATTTCATAATTGTTTCAGTTTTGGTTTTAAATTAAAATTTGATATTTAATTTTTTAAGAGAAAAATACCATAAAATGAACTTTTTTTGTTATAATAAAGAAATTAATTTGAAACGTATAGTATATTTTTCAATTCCTACTATTAGTTCACATTCTCCCTATATTTATATATCTTGTTCAAATTTTCAATCGTTAATAAAACACTTTTTATTCTTCCACACAAGTTCAAATACATTTTTTTAAAAACTTGATGTGGATGGCACTTGATATTAATACAGTTTTTTTCAAATATTAATTCATTAATTAAATTTAATTAATTAATTTTAGCTTTATTTGCGAGAAAAAATTTCTATTATATAAGATATTTAGCAAGATATAAATTTAGAAATAAATACCGTCAGTGGCGAAACGTGTAGATCGATCTTGTAGATCGTTAGAAAAAAATTTTTTTTGCTTTGTTGTCCTAAGTAGGAATTGACTTCTAATTTTTTTTATATATTACTTGTTATAATGTCAACAGTACCAAAATATAAAATTTATTGTATTATCTCTTTATTTTTTTCTCTTAAGTGGCACTAAAAACGTGAGTATTTCTCTATCTAACTAGGAACAATATAGTCTTTTATAATAATTCGTTTTGTTAGGTTTCGTTAATTAAAATTAAAATAACGTTAAATAAGTAGTTAGACGTTAAGTATTTGTTTAGTTTCGTTTTGTTAGGTAGTTTTAAGTGATAGTTTAACTAGTGTTGAATAGTTAGCTATACGTTAAGTATTTATTTAGAACTAGCCTCCTTTGGTGTCCAGCATGGTCACCTTCCAAAATTATTTTGTACAACTTATAAACTTTAATGGTTTCCAAGTGGATTGTACAGCACAACTGTATCTAAATATTCTAATTCTTCATTCTCTCCCCATCCTAACACCTTAATTAGTCTTAAACAATATTTTAACCAACTTTTTCCCCGTTTAACTGTTGCCCGCGCGGAACTCCATTGATTCCAATTTTCAATTTCCCGGATGTTGTCGAGCTTCTTTATGTATTGAATTTTAGCTATAATTTAAAATCTGTCCGGTACAAATCACCGTAAGTATAAGTTCGGGACATTATCTTCCTGCTCCATTACGTGCCGTACTACTACCTCACTCACCTCTCGAGCTATAACTTGAATATCGTACAATATATATATGCTATTACTCGAAAAAAGCAAGCTCCGTCACTAATAATTGGTATCCCAATATGCTGTACCATAGCCCTTTTTATTGTTCAAAACTTCTTGCATCCCTTTTAGAAATGATAAAAAATAAATTTAAATAATTATTTCGCAACTAAGCTATTATATCTATAAAAATATAAAAATATTCTAAATAAATATTTACGTATAGCTAGCTACTCAACACTACTTAAACTTTCATTTAAGACAACCTAATAAAATGAATCTAAATAAATATTTAACTTATGACTAATTATTTAACAATACTTAAATTATTAAGACAACCTAAAAAAATAAATTATAACTATTATATACAACTGACACAAAAAATTTGAACAAAAGAATTACAATTAGTTTCATTGAAATTGTTCGAACTTGGCAAATATGTCAAAATAAAACGATGATGTTAAGAAATAAATACCATTTTATGGCAATAGAAAACATTAATAAAATGGATATGAAAACAAAATTGCAAAAATGAAGTGAATTTGAATAATTTATTATGAAAACTTTTAAATATTCTTAAAAGAAAAATACTGTCAAAAATATTTAAGAAATTGAATGTTTTTTTACCACATACAAGCATTTCGCTTTCATTTTAGCTTGCATCATTATGAGTAATAAAATTTTCGTTACTATTAACGTTACTGACGTTTTATGAAATGGAATTTTAATGATAATTATTTTATTAAAAATTATATTTGTAGTTAATATCAAAGTCCATTTAAAAATGTTAAATTATATCTTTCTATTGAAAATATCTTGGAATGGTTGCGAAAATAAAACCCGAATAAAAAATTTAAAAACAATCATACTAAATTTTCAATCATAATATAAAGTAAACACAAACGATAAAGTTTTTTCCCCTCACATTTAACAGTTTTCAACAGTTCATCATTTTTGCCGTTATTTGACTGGTTATGGTTGAATATGGTAAAATAACAAATAAATAAATTTCTATTTAACCATTTTTTACCTAGAAACTTCTAACAATGTAGACAATGAGAAACTTCTATTATGTCGTGCTTAAAACTTATTAAGCTGTTAGAATTGGAGGAGGGGTTGAAGAATCAGAATATTTAAATACAGTTGTGCTGTGCATTCGGCTTGATTATCGTAAAAGTTCCCATGTTGCTCAATATAATTTTGAAAGGTGACCAATCTGGTCGCCGAAGGCGGCTAGCATTTATTAAACAGCCTTTAAATGAGAAGAAAAAATTACCACAACGCATTTAATGCCTTTTTTTAAAACTAAATCATCAAAATAATTTTGGAAAATAAATAACTTAAAAGTAATTGGTTGATTAATTGTAAACAATTTGAAAACAACGCTTAGAGTGTTTCATATGAAAATTGCAACATAATTTAAGTAGCTTGTATCAGAAATAAAGAGCTGGTAGGATAAACTATTTTAACCTTTAAAATTGTAACTAACTAAATATTTAATTCTCTGTAACAATATAAAATCATAGAGTAGGTTATGTCAAGGAAATCCGGTTCTTACATAATAGACAATTGCTATATTGTCTGATCAACAATTTAAAAATGTCCTCAGATGGTTTACCTTCCTCAAATAAATACTGGCATGCGGTAAATTCGACTCTGAGTGAGCTTTCCTCATTTTTATGTTTGTTTTCTTAATATTTCTGTTTGATTTTGCTATTTTGAGTTTAGCGCAGCATAGTCGAATCCGGCTTTTGCTCTTTTAAACTCTTCTTTCAATCCAATTTTAAAATTAAAATATTTTTTTTAAATTTCTTGCAGATATTTCTACACCCCATCATTTAGAAGAATGTGGTTACAGCTTTTCATTTTTTGTTTCATCATTAGCGTAGCATTGAGTGCTGAACCAAGATTCAGTCGCCCTCATAGTAAGTATTTAAACCAAATTAAAAATCATAACTATGTAAAGATGCGCAAAAAGATAGAAGCACCTTGAAATAACTTTTGATCTCATGATCAGATTTTCATATACTACGACTCAAACTTAATAGTTCAAGGGAGTGACCTCAAATATGCTAATTATAAGTGCAGACTATAATTAACTTATGAAATTAGACACAAAAACGTACTTCCTCTGAATGAACATACCTTTTTTTGACGGATTTGGACATATGGGGGCAGCCGCAATCTGGGATGGGTTCAATAGTTTGGTCAGGAAAGCAGTCAAAAATTTGAACCATCTCATGTTAACTTTAATTTTTGATTTATTTCGTCATATCTCAAGAATGTTTTGAGTAAATCGAAAACTCTTGCTCACAATTATTAAATGCGTTAATCCAAGAATAATTTCTTGCAAAAAAAACAGTTTTTGATAAGTATTTATTGTTTTTTTATTAATTTATTTAATAACAGACAGAACAATTTTAAATTGTAAGGTATACAATGTTTTACATCATTTTGAGGATTTATAATTTTTTTCTCAATACCAATCCGATTGGCATTCGTTCTTTAGGTATCAGTAGGGCAGATTTGTTAGTCACGTTTTCAGGGGCACAATATTAGGTGAGTCAACGTTGCTCCCACAGTAAGGACAGCTAGTACAGAGACTAAAAAAACATCTATGCCCTGTCCGGGCTTCGAGCCCAGAACCTTTCTGATGTGCTGTCAGCTCCATACACAGTCTGATCGGCATTCATATATATTTATCTTTTTTCATCAATGTCTTTTTTTTTAATCATATTTTCATAAACAATGCATGAACTGTGAAAAATTTAATATGCTTAAACCTTTAGCACTTGTACCAAACAAATGCATAAATATTAATAAAGATATTTTTTTCACAATGTTGTGAAAACATTGAATCCGCAAGGTATTCACTTCTACAATGCTGGAGACGACCATGAAAGAGGCAAGGTCGTGTGCTATTATAGTGCCTGGGCTTACACGAGACCAAAACCATGGAACTATGATATAGACGATATTCCCGGAGATTTGTGTACGGATATCATCTATTCTTTTGTGGGATTGAACAATCAGACATGGGAATTGTTCAGTATTGATCCAGAATATGATTTAGAAAATGGTAAGTAAAATGTATTTCTTTAAAAGTATTACGTGACTAAATTTTAAATCTAAAAATTATTGAATACTTGAACACGGGGTTTTGTTAGTATTACATTTTGAAAACCCGATTTGCTTAAAAAGTACACATTCAATAATGTTTGGTTAAAGTTTGAAAACAATTAGAACATTAAATAAATAGCCAGTGTGATCACCAGATAATAAAATAACATTTCCTTCTTTCTAACGGCAAGATTAAAAGACTTTTAAACTCCTCAGATAGAAATAAAAATACGAAGAACCGTATAGAGAACAAACATAGAGAGAGAGAAACATAGAGAACAAGAAATGACCCACTGTAGGGATAGTCTAGAATCCAAACGGCCCCTTGACTCCCAGTGGCGGTCCACAGGAGAGAGTTTGATTAAAGCTGAACAGTAATTGAGATGGTCACCATCCCCAGATTACAGAGACTGCAGATAGGAGCTACGTGGAAACAGTGCAACTGTTCTTGGAGACTGTCATGGCTAGTGGCGAACCTAAACTCGGCCATCATTTTGAGACTAGAGATTATTTAAATTTCCAAGACTTTTGAATTATACTAACAGCGAGGTTCTTTTTGAACTCCAGATTTTTGGTTACTCGTTTTAATGTTCCAAAGGAAGGAAAGGAAACATTCTTAACCTTTGTAATTTTTAATGAGATGGCTATAAATGACTTTAGACCTTATCCCTTTGATGCAGAAATTTTATGAAATATATTTTCAAACTCTTTTCCTTATTTCGTATTTTTGGTTCAAATAGGTGAAAAATATGCAGTGAAAAATATAAGTGATTTGCAGTTATTTAGCATTTCAATAATTTCTGGCAAAGAAATAAAGCATGATACACCAATGTCTTTTTTCGCATTAAAAGCAAAATCTTCCAAATACGTCCAAACGATGCATTTTTAAGTTTGTAGTTACTTAGATCTAAAAGAAATCATTAATGAAATTCTTTAATTTACAAAATCAATTATTAATAAATTTTTGACTATAGTAAAATAAAATATAATATGATCAAACAGATTTTGTCTTGTAACTAATAGACTTTACAAATATATTTTCGCTAGTAATTAGAGCGTCAGTATATATATATATATAAGATAGAAGCACCTTGAAATAACTTTTGATCTCATGATCAGATTTTCATATACTACGACTCAAACTTAATAGTTCAAGGGAGTGACCTCAAATATGCTAATTATAAGTGCAGACTATAATTAACTTATGAAATTAGACACAAAAACGTACTTCCTCTGAATGAACATACCTTTTTTTGACGGATTTGGACATATGGGGGCAGCCGCAATCTGGGATGGGTTCAATAGTTTGGTCAGGAAAGCAGTCAAAAATTTGAACCATCTCATGTTAACNTTTTAACAAAACTTTTATAAAAAAAAGTAAAAATAACATGTAAAAACAGATAATAAAATAAAATAAAAAGAAAAAACATTAAAAAGGGGAGACTATAAAGCGAGCAGCAAAATCAGTTCAACTTACATGGACGGATATTTTTCAAGAATATATATAATTTCAAGAATATATAAGAATTTTCAAGAATATATATATATATATATATATATATAAATCTCATCTGCGTCAAAGGGTTAGGAAGTTGCTGATTTCTTAAAAAAATAGAAAAATGAAAATATCTATTTAGTTTAAACGTAAATTTCTTACTATGCCATTTCCTTCATAAAGGCACATTTCATATCATTCCAATAATAAAAAATTGGGATTAAAGGGATTTAACGGAAAAATACGTAAATCAACATCTCTTCCACAAATAGTACATTTAAAATAAATGAATTTCTGAAATGTTTTTAAATTTTTTGATCTTTATGCCTTTTAGGTGGTTATAAAAAATTCACGGCTCTTCGGGGAAAACATCCCCATTTAAAGCTTCTTCTTGCTGTTGGAGGTTGGGCAGAAGGAGGCAGGAAATACTCGGACATGGTTGGAGAAAAATCTAGAAGAGACATCTTTGTGAAAAGCGCCGTCAAATGGGTTAAAGATTTCGGATTTGATGGTTTTGATTTGGATTGGGAATATCCAGGAGCATCGGACCGCGGTGGAAAATATTCCGACAAGGAAAATTTCTTAAAACTTGTAGAGGTACGAAGTACATTTTTGCCATTATCAGTTTACGCACATGAGCTTGTGACGCTAAACTTTAAAATAAACATTTTAATTACACAAACATGTAACATTACTTGCAACATTTTATTGTCTAATACATTTCTATATAGGAACTAGATGTCAGTACAGCATTTTAGCTCATTATTACATTTTTGCCTTGTAACTGTTATATTTATGAAATAAATTAAAAAATAACAATATAGAAATTATTAATTCAATCCAAAACAATATGAAGGACCTATATAAATAAAAGGCCACACATCTTCGAAAAAAAGGAGCTGTATTTGCCCCTTCTCTTTGACAATGGCTCAATTCTATTCAAAATCATAAATCATGAAAATGGATGTAGTACGTTACTCTGAGAAGATACAAAGAACACAAATCAAGAATCAAATCTAGTAACGATTATTTTTAATCGAATGGAACAATCTTAGAATTAAAAATTTTCACGATTGTCTTGTCACGAATTTTAAGTATATTTATTGCTGCTGTACGTTTAAAAATCATGATTCACCGCTTTTTTTTAAAAAAAATCTAAAATATGATTATTGATTCAAGCATACTTTTAATTAAACAAAATAGCATGCACTCAGTCTCTAGTTCTAAAAGTTTAGAATTTAAATATAAAATTAAATCAAAAATATTAAATCAACGTAGTTGTGATAAAATTCAAAAGCAATTTCAGAATCAATATAAAATATTCCCTTCAAATTATTTATGAAATTATTATCCTATGTGCATAAATTACAATCGCTAATGAAATGGATTAATTACTTCTTTTTCTTTCAAACTATAATTTTTAAGGCTTCTGTGCATATTTTTTTCACATGGAAAGCTAATCCAAGAGCAATCAAATTTTTATAAATCATCGAATCTCTTCATTTTCGATGAAATAGTGAAACACTAATACATATTTACTGAAAAATTGGTGTGGGGGAAAAATACGATAAGAGTCAAGAAACAGTTTTTATAATTTCATCTTTGGAAAATGTAGGTATTTTTTAAAAACATGTTTTACTTTTAAATAAAATCTGATTAACTAATTTATCTTGCATTGTTTCAGGAACTAAAAGTTGCATTTGAGCCTCATAAGTTACTTTTGACGTGTGCTGTGCCAGTGGCTAAGTTTAGACTGCAAGAAGGATACGAAGTTCCAAGATTAGCAGAGTAAGACACTCACCAATTTACATTTACATTTTTAACCAATATTTTTTTTCATTTATAAATGCTTCGTTTATTTTATTTATCCATTTTTATAGTAAAAAAATGTAAGCGAAAGGAATTCCTTTTCAATCAGAAAAAAAAAAGTTAAATTGAATATTATCTTAAAATTATTAAGATATTATTTTGATTAATTTCGTCACATAAATTTTTGCTTGGAATCTACTCTGATGTCGGTACAAAATTTTGGTTAATTATCAAGATTTTGGTTTTCAATAGAATTGGGCCATTGGCCAAAGGGAAGATGCAAATTTACCTCTTTTTCCTATAGATGCGTAGCCTTCATTTAATCATTGTTTTGGATTAAATTAATTGTTTCAATGCCATTATTTTATAATAATTGGCTAATTTTTTTTATCAACATCGTAAGTACGAATTCTCTTACATGCATCGTGTAGAAATCTAATAACGTCCAAGTAGGAGCTTACTGCATCTAAAAGAAATCTGGTAGGAAATATGTAATCGTCTATTCTGCTAAAGTGCAAGCTTGAATTCTATTCAATCAGAATATAATTGTTTGACATCGTCAACATGAAATCAAATCTTTATGGCATTCTCCATTATTTCTATCTTAGATGCGCAATCTATCTTATTCAAATGTCTCTTCAAAATGTTTCAGATATATTTTTGATGAGATTTAGATATTGAGAATTTCAAGGGTAATCAAGGGTAAAGTGGTTAATTTATTTCCTTTATAACATTTTTTATACTATCTCAGAACGAAGATCTTGTTGAAACACACCAACACCACGAACGTTGCATGAAAAACACAATTTTTTTCACTATGATGTTCTTTTTTTTATAGTTTATCATCCTTTAACTGATTCTACGCTGCCAGTTGCCCCTCACGTGATTTAAACAAAAGAAAATATGCTTTTACAGTTTAAGATGTTGTTCACTGGTGGCTTCTTAAGCATTTCGCCTTACAAAATTAAAATCTTTGGACGAGAAAATACGATTCGTTGCTGAATAAATTCAATTCCAGTCTTGTGCTGTGCAGAGTTTATATTTTCTATCCTAATTCAAAACTTTTTTCTGGGTCGGGATAGCCTTGTCGGTAGGGCGCTGGGCCCATGCCCGAGAGTTCATGGGTTCGAACCCCGCCGGCCGAAGACTCGCCGTGTAGTTGGTGACTGATGCACGTTAAAATTCTGTCGAATCGCAAAGTCCTCCACGTTCCCATAACAAATCAATACCTCTGGGGGGAACTGGATTGGAGATCGCTCGTTCTCTGATTCAGGTCAAAATTACGATCTGTGGATCTATGAATGGGTCCGCCTTATAAACAGGTGAGACGTATGATGTGGCAGAAGTCGAATTCTTGGTCATAGATGGCGCCACTGAAAACCAAGAATCGCACACTCTGCCTCTAAATTTGCTCGGCTTCACCAAGCAGGCTTGCCCGTGTGGCAAGTGGCATTAGAACCAACCAACCAAACTTTTTTCTTGGTTGCAAGTATAATTACCATTTAGGACACGCCTTTTTAAATTGAAGATTAATAAAATAAGATAGAAGGGAGATAATTGACTAGAATTGAAAATTAAATTGAAGACTTTTAAATTGAATCTTAGACTTCATCGAACTGTTGATGACTCAACAGTCACATCCCAAGCAGCTATACTTTGGCTCCAGTTGGGATCAAAATTGACTCAATATGGGTCCTATAAGAATATGTACTGAAGGACCAATATTGGAATGTCCAGATTTTTTAATATTGGTCCTAAAATGGTCTATTTAGGGCCTATACATCGGTCAATATGGAACCTATATTGGCTAAATAATGGATATAAAATATCGGGTGAATCTGACAATTCTATATAGTACCTATATTGGTTGTAAAGTGGCTGCAAAATATCGGGTGAATCTGATAATTCTATATAGTACCTATATTGGTCGTAAAGTGGCTGCAAAATATCGTGTGAATCGGAAAATTCTGTTTCGGGCCAATATCGGCAAAATAACGGTCCTCATTTAGCCAAGATTCATAAATATTGGCCCAATGAGGGCCTAGTTGTATTGGCCTAAGTTGTATTGCTGCTAGGGATTCTAGATTTCTCCCTAGAAGCAAATAATTCTCTATCTGAAGATCTGCATTAGTTGAGCCAACCTCCATCTGTGCAAAAAAATGTAGTTAAACCAATTTTATAGGCTGAAAATCCTACCCAAAGCCGAATGTTATTGAATAGGAAACTTAATTCATTAATATGCGCAATACCGTATGTCACATGATATAAGACATTTAAACTAAAAAATACTTTTACTTATAGATTATTTGACTGGATCAATGTGATGACCTATGATCTTCGTGGTAACTGGGCTGGTTTTGCAGATGTCCATAGTCCTTTGTATAAGCGACCATTCGATCAGTGGGCCTATGAGAAACTTAATGTGGTAAGATATTTAAAAACTCTTTTTTCTCATTTTCTTTTTACAACTCTCCTACATTAAATTTTAAGAAAAATTATTGAACCTAAGATTTTTTTTTTAATCGAGTCGAAGTCCCTAAAGACAGAGACAAATATTCTCTACATATCAATATGCGTTCACTTTGAGATTTCATAATGTTTTGTAGACAAATATTTGTTGTATAAAAGTACATAAGTTAATTAAAAGATAAGTTAGTTAATTGAATAGAAGTAAAATATAATTAAGACTTGTAGTATATTTCAAGATAGTGATTTTCAGAATAAGTGCCACAGCGAGCTAAGATTTAAATGGGACACAGCTAACAAAAAAGCTTTGAGAATCATTTCATCTTATTTTCTTTGTATCTACATTATTTAACATTGGTAAAATTGTTTCGGTAGAAAATATAATTTGTTTCTTAATCAGCAATTGGGATGGAATTTGAATTATTATTAATTTTTTTTTAAATAGTGATTGTTTGTTCTAAAAAAATAAAGAAAACAAGAATTTTTTCCCTCACGAAACTGATTCATTTCAGAAAAGGTTAAGGAGTGCTGACTATTATAGAAATAAATGCAAACAAATCTTTTTGCCATTTATTTTCAACAATTTCCTGAGTTGAAATCAGTGATGAGATCAAATTGTTAGAAAATTCGAAACTTATGAAGAAAGCCTTAACTTCTTTTAAAGCTTTAAAGCTTCAAGTTAACAATAATTTTTATATTTTCATAAAAATTCATAATCACTATTTCATAAATTTTTCTCGTAATTAATTCATTTTCAGTAACAGATCAAGCTCGAAGATTTTGCATCTATAATTCACGAAAAGTTACATTATTTTTGGAAAATTTAAAGCAAGAATTAATCATAATTGAAAAAATGGGATATTTTACGTCAGCCCTGTGGACGTGGGAAGCCATTAACAAAATACATATCGACTAGCCGTCGCTGGGATTCGAACATGGATCATGTCATTGGGAGACGAATGCTCTATCCCCTGAGCCACCACGGCTCTGATTCGTTTATTTTATTTTACTTTATAACCGTCGTTGAACAACCGACCCAATTTTGGGTTTACGACTACTTATGTTCAACTACGTAGCCTTGTAATTACGAACCCAATCCAGAAGACAAAGAAACTCCTGGATCAAGTATTGGGGGGGGGGATTTGCCTTCATGGAGGACGTTTTGATGGAACTAGCCCGCATTGGCGGGAGAAAAAGACTACGAGAACTTCCCACTGTTAGCCGTAATCCATCATCCGTCTACCACTGAGGATATTTCACGTCAGCACTGCGGTCGGTGCAAGCCGGATGCGGAATTCGAATCGACCAGCCATGGCTGGGATTCGAACCCGGTTCACCTCTTTGGAAGGCGAACGCTCTATCCCAAGAGCCATCGCGGCTCCTGGTGCAATTATTAAAATAGACAACACAAATGTCTTGATTTCCACTAAGAATATTACGCAGTGATTAAAAATACCTGTTGAATCTCCTATACTTTTCTGCCAATAGTCTGAAAATATAGCGTACTAGAAATTTCAAGTTACTAATAATGATTTAATGTTTCTGTTTTCAGCATGATGGTCTTCAGCTCTGGGTCAGTATGGGTGCTCCAAAGAACAAGTTAGTAGTGGGTGTACCTTTCTACGGAAGGACGTATACTTTGGGAAGCAAAGATAACACAGAATTGAGGGCGGGCATCAAAAAGTGGGTAGGTGGTGGAGAACCAGGACCTTACACCAATGCAAGCGGATTTTTAGCCTACTACGAGGTAAGAATAATTAAGACTGTTTCTAATTATTATAAATATCTTCATCGAATATCTATAACTTTATCCAAAATATTTTATTTATAGATTTGTCCTCATGTGAACAGTGGGGAATGGACCAAGAAATATGATGACATTGGTAAATGCCCGTATGCATATCATGATGATCAGTGGATAGGCTATGAGGATGAAGATAGTATAGGGATTAAGGTAAGTCTCAAGCCTAAATAAATGCATGGTGTTCCGTAATCCCCACTCTTGAAATATATATGTTTAATAACATAGTTAAAAATGACAACATTTTGTAACAAAAGAGGTCACAGACTAAGAACAAATAAAATGCTAAAAGAAGTCAAACGGGTTAAAGAGGAAGGAGAGATTAAAAACATCAAAACTTTGTTTGAATATGAGATAAGCTGAGGGACGGTAAAAGGTGATTATTAATAATTACAAGAAATCAAGTTCAGTCAAGCAAATTAAATTAATATTGATGTTATTAAATTAATATTAATGCAAATAATTTCATATTGATGTTTCGATACCGCTTTCTTCGTTAGCGATTCGTCAAATTTCGACAATGTTTTTCCTTATTTAAATTTTAGTTTATGACTCTTAACGTACATATTTTTTAAATTTAATTTTTGACTGGAATTAAAGGTAAGTGTTTACTGAACATGCTGTCTCTAGGAATAATATTTTCTCTCCATTCTAATGAGCCTATCCAGTACGAAGAGTTTGTAATAATCTTCAGAAAATATATAAACACAAAGCAGAAAAGAGCCAAATATATATCCCCTAAGTCGGACATACGGAAAACAAATAAACTTTTGATAATAATTTTACCAATGATAAATTTTTTGATAGAAAAAAATGGTTTTAAAATGCTTTTTCTGATTTCGTCGAGTACAGTAGAGTTTAATAAAAAAGCATAATGTGAAAAAAAAATCTATCTTATATTCGAAATTATAATTATAATATATTTATAAGGAATAGAAACTTGGAATAGCATTCTGGACTTGGAGAGTTTTCAATGGATTTATTTGTCAAATTTTCTAACAACATACACTTGTAGTTGAATTTTAGAAAAACCAAACTTAAATTCTTTGAATGTTAGAAGGTTTAAATGAATGTTAGAATAATCAAATTTCAGTTCTTTGGTTATAATCTAAACGATTACAATAAACTCATTAATTAAATAAATTATAAGTCGTATTTCTAAATTGTATCTTTTTGCAGCTATTAAACTTATTTGTTTCCAATTTCAGCATGCAAAAGTTTGCAACTTAAAATGATTTTAACTTCCATGTGTATAGTAAATATATAAAAACTAAAGATTGTCAGTCCAGCGTTTAAAAGCTAAGCTTAAATCAAATCCTCTACCATGACTAAGCTATAAAATATTAATAGGGGTTATTTTTTCTGTACATTTTCCTCTTACTCAGTCTTACAACTTATAGCCTAAATTTAACACTAAACGTTTTCTAATAGATGGACTACATAAGAAAAGAAGGCTATGGCGGAGCTATGATATGGGCAATAGATATGGATGATTACAATGGAGTATGTGGACGCAAAAATGCTCTTCTAGAAGTTATGAATGAAAAACTACGAGGCTATGTACCGCCAAAACCAGATCCAAGCCAAACAACGGAAGGTTCCACCTTGTCCACCAGCAAATGGTGGCCACCAAGGTAAATTTATAAAGCCTTTTTTATAATTAACCAATAAATAAACCCAGGTTTAATAGGTTTAACCAGGAATTAAACCTGAAGTCTAAAACTTTTAGAAACCGAGACCAATTTATAGGAGTCAACATATTATGCAATGTAAAGTAGAATAACGATGTTTTGCTTCCATGAAGTTATATAAAGACAATTATTACAATTTTTAAATTTTTGTACGCAAAAATAAATAAATTGGTTAAAAGCATGTTTGCTTTTGAACTTTTGATGAAGAATAGACTAATATCGACAGAAGTTATATAGTTTTCAACTCCAGATTTGTGGTTCAGTTAAAGCAGGAGATTAATCTACGATTGTCGGAATAAATTTAAAAAGCCATGTTTATGACCAAATTTAATGGGTTTAACCAGTATTTTTAAGTCCAAAACTTCTCTGAACCAGGGTCAATTTATAGGAGCGAACATATTATGCAATGTAAAGTAGAATAACGACGCTTTGCTTTTATAAAGATATTTTTAATTTTTTATTGATTTGAAAATAAATAAAGTGGATAAAAGTATTTGCTCAGCTCGTAAACTTTTAATGAGGAATAGAATAAAATAAAGAAGTTAATGCACTTTACTATTACATATTTGTTGCTCAATCACATCAGGAAGTCACTCTGCGATTGCTGGAATTATATAAGTTTGTTTGCCTGTACAGCATCAATTTAGTCCATTGAAAACTTTTTTTATGCGGGCTTCGTCTTCTACACGATCAGATGTTTCCTTCGTTTGTTGAGTACGATGACCCGAAAAACCTTCAGAAGTTATACATATCTTCTTAAAAATAACTTTATAAATTGTAGAATTCCTGCCTTTCAAGTTTTAAATAAAATTAGTCCTCAAAGATCAAAAGACGAAGCCCAACCCGAACGGTTAGTCAGTAAGAAAAGCGAATTTAAAAATGCTCTAGTTGGTTGTTGATGTTTAGAAAAATAATTTTTTTAAAATAAATTTATCTTAAACAAAAAATATCTATGTTTTTGCGTTTAAATTAATTTAAGAATACTTAAATATCGATCGCGAGTTACGATTTTTTGCCATCCCTCGTAGAGTATAAACTCAGCAACTGTATTACACACCGCCTATAATTAAAACCAATAATAAACTCAAGCCAAAGCGAAATAGACAAAACAGTTTATAAAATAAACTAAATAAATAAACATGGTCCAAATTTAGTAGACAATATAACATTCGCTGTGCTTTTCAGGTCTACTGAAGCATCAACTCAAATGACGTGGTGGCCTCCAGCATCCACTAAATCAAGTACAGTATGGTGGCAGCCTGACGCATCAACTACTCCAAAACCATCCAACAGTCAGGGTTCACCCTCAGCTTCAGCCGATAAAGATTTTGAATCCCCGTATGACCAGCCTGGAGCACCAGACTGTAAGAACAGAGAAACCATACCTCACGAAGAAAAGAATAAATATTACTGGTGTGTTGGTGGTAGACCTGTTCTAATGCAATGCGAGAAGGGTTCATATTACGATCACAGCTTAGGTAAATGTGCTTGGAATTCAATGCTTAGGTCTAACTTGTTGAACATAGGAGGCTACCATTATCAATTTCGTACATATTTAGGTAAATAAGTGAATTTGTTTAGGTTTAAAAGACTCACAGGATAATAGAGATGGGACTTAAAACACATCCACAATAAGTAATGTACAAAGTAAACGAAGCAGTGGCATTTATAAATGTAATACAAAAAATCAGTTTTTGAAATCTGTCGGTATTATTCTGTGAGTGTTGTTTTAAATTGAGGATGGAGCTTTGCTTACTGTTGTTGTTGCTTAGAAAAACATTCTTGTGTGATACTAGATTTTCAAGTTTCTTTGTGTGCCATATTTTGTTGGGAAATACCGTGTACTCTTCTGCCTTTTTGATTCTTCAAAAAAGTATTAAGAGAAAGAGTTTATTTTTTTTTATTTTTTATATTTTTAAAAAAATATTACTTGTTTTAGTGAAATCATTATTTCATTTTATAATTTGTCAATCATCAAGTTATCAACAATGAACTAGTATAAACACGTTATTATCCTTTAAGAATATTTAAAAATAAATATTTTATTAAGGATATGTATATTTACTGTTCCAACCCTAAAATAAAGTTGTTTTTCTTATTTTAATGTGTTCCTTTTCATGATTTTATTGGAATTTTCAAACGAGTATGATCCACTAACAACTCACATGAACATTTACTGACAAATATGCACAGAAGATGTTATTCTTAACTAACGAAACTGAGCTAAACCTCATTCCTTTAAATCTGGACTTTACTTACAGGAAAAAGGAGAAAAAAAGTTACATGGGGCAAGGTAAGATGAGTACAGCAAATATTACCAAACAACATCCAGTCATACACAAGCAGCTAGATTCTCTGCTTCTATTGCTGTAGAATCAAAATACAGTTAGAATAGTCTTTGAAAATCAATCATCTGAAATTCATAAATTTACTTTTTTGCGATTACTTTAATTAGTTATTACATTATTGTCCTATTTTTAAAAGCACAATTCTCAAGAGGTGCAAGCATCACACAGATCTAAACTTTGAGTTCTGACAACAAGTTAAAATTTAACTCACAGTAAAATTTTGAGAAAAAATTTCTAATTCTATCTAGTGACAGAAATTAACATAAATTATTCCAGAAGTTTTTTAGAAATACTTTTTTTTTTCTTTCCTAACCAAAAGCACCAATTTTGGACATTCATGACGTCAACTGCACCAATGCAACTAAAAAAACTTTTCAAATGAAAAATGGCAAAGTAAAGTTTCTATTAAATGATTACTTGATAGTATCCTCAACAAATGGCAGAACTAATTAAGTTACATTTTCCATTTTCTTTGTCAAAGATAAAAAACTTAATGTCTTGACGCAATTACTTATTTATTCAAGCTTAAAATAATTCTTTAAATATTTTAAAGTGTTCAGAAAGATTGCAACGCCAATAGTTTTCGCTGTGAATTAAAATAATCCAAGATCCCAAAATTCAATGAAAAAGTAATTATAGTATTAGTTATTTATTTTTTTAAATGAAGAGGTATTTTGTATAAGTTGTTGTTGTTAATTTACGTCGCACTAGAGCAGCACAATGGGCTATTGGCGACGGTCTGGGAAACATCCCGGAGGATGATCCGAAGACATGCCATCACAATTTTGATCCTCTGCGGAGGGGATGGCACCCCCGCTTCGGTAGCCCGATGACCTGCGCGCGAAGTCGAGCACTTTACGGTAGCACAGCTTAACGAGGACCAATACCGCACACCCTCGGTCCCTACGCAGACTGATCCAAGTGGTCACCCACCCGCACACTGACCGTAGCCAGTGATGCTTGACTTTGGTGATCTGCTGGGAGTCGTGTCTTAATGATTTGTATAAGTACTCATCATTTAGCGCATATCATATAAGTAAAGAAATGCCTTAAAATAATGAAGACACAGAGTAAGATTAAAACAAACATTTTCATAAAAATATTGAAATCAAAACATTTTATTTAATAACATTCCAATAACAAATTGAAGCTTTTAAATAGAAGAAAACTAGAGTTATATTGCACAGGAGAAAAATAAATATTAAGTATATTATGTATATAAGAATAAATAAATTTTCTGTAAACTAAAACACAAACTTTGCAAAGATCGCTTTATGATAATGCGATATTAGGCAGTCAGACACTAAAACAACTAAACATCTATCACAAACAACTTATCACAGACGGAAGCACCAACAACTTTCCTTTTTTTAAAGACACCTTCAAAATTTGTTCATAATTTACATAAATATATAAATACTTTTTATGTAGATATAAAATAATAATAAAAATTGAAACAGAACTCAAAATAATAATTTACCACAATCTTTGGTATAACAGTCCTTAAGCTCACTATAGTTATTTATTATTTTGTAGTATGTTAAGTACAAAGGTTCATAAAAGTAATTAATAGCAATATTTAGCATTAATGCTATTAATCCTTTGACACAGAATTTTTATTAAACATATTTTTCATACTTTTTTTTATTATTATTTTGTATTAATTTAAGTAAAAAATAATATATTTAGCATTTTAAATATTTATGATTATAAAAGACATTATGATTATGAGCATAAAAGACTGGTGTCTTTTCTGTGTTAAAGGTAAAATCATCCAAACATGGTTCACTTCCTGAAAATAATTTTTCAAATTTGCAATTATTTAGACCTAAGAAAAACAGGCATTCATCATCTACTTTTTTTTTTGGATTTTGTGTTTTAGGACAAATATAATTCCGATAATCTAATAGATTTTTTTTAGTAACTAATAGACTGCTTTCATAATTAAAAATGCCAAAATATATTTTCTCTAGTTGTTTAATTAGTCTTTATACTTTCTAGTCATTTAATTAGAGTGTCAGAAAAAATATATATAAAAGGGACACTAGGGTCTCATCTGCATCAAAGGGTTAAAAACTAGAAAAGCAAAAAGAGTGCAGCAAGAAACAAAATAAAGTTAAGAACTTAATAGTTAATACTATTCAACCTTAAAAGACAAACTGAGGTATATTGGTCTGAGACAAAACGAATAAGAACAATCAACAAGAGACAAAAAGTAATAACAATGAAAAAAAAAATGCAAGTCAGAAAATTACAGTTTAAAAGTCTGTCATATGTCTAATTTTTTGCAAACATACTCCTGTCTGATGATTTTAAATAGAATTCCTAAATGTTAATTTTACAACAGAAATAAATAAGATTTTGTAGACGAGAAAACAAAATTTTACATTCATGATTCTTTTAAAAACTTGAATGATAGATACACATACTTCTGGTTAACATGGTTTTATCTTTTTACTTAAATATTTTTTTTAAAAATAAAACTGTATTATTAAAATTTCATAAAATATAATGCATTTGTTTAAAATATGCCAAACTTCCTTGTATTGTATAGAAGAAAATATGCTTTGAGCTTTATTCTATAGTACAATTCATTTGTCTGTATTAGCTCATATTTATTTTTCTAACCTAAGAGGATTTTAAATATTTTAGACTTAGGCAAATTTAAAAAATATACTTGCTTTTTCGAATTACAAAAAATAGGGATTGTTTTATATTATGGTGCTATTTAAAAATAAATAAAAGAGCAAGAACATTTGTTTTAAATTAAGAGTTATTTTTGTAATACAAAAATAAAGCATAATTTTAAAGTCTTGAAGAATACAAAATAAAGGAAAAATTATGCATCTTAAAAACATTGGGACAAATTCTGGGGTCATAACTTGCAAAAACTTGTTATTTTATTGAACTTGTTTATGATCAACTAAATAATAAATGCAATAATAAATAAATTACAAAATTAGAATACAAAATAACATGAGATAACCACATACTTAATACTAAACTACCACAGAAGTAAGACTTGGGTGAATCAAATTTTAATAATTTAATAAATTATTTTAGACTTTTCTTGACATAATCTTGGCATTTATTTCTATAAACAAGGGCTTAAAACTATGAAACTTTCCTTAAAGGTAAATTAATATTTTGAGATTAATCAAAACAAACATATAATTAATAATATTGATATAATCTGTTACTTTTTTCTTAATTATTGTATAATTTTCGCTTGTAATAGTTATTATTAATTAAATGTTATAACAAGAGAGATAAAATTTTTTTTTTCATTTTAGTGAACCATTTGTTTAAGTTTAATCTCAACATTTTTAGAAGTTCATTTATTTTATTGTTTTTAAAAATAAATATTTAAAAATAAATATTTAAAAACAATAAATGAGAATAAATAACAGAACAGAAAAAATGAGACATATGAGAATAAATAACAATAAAATAATAAGCAAATTTCAAAAATGACTTTTTTTGTTGTTATAGAAACATAGGCATAGTTAAAGATCCAGATACAGTATATGCACTATTAAATAACAGATCAAAATAAATTCAACATACAAGAGTTATTAAAGATTATGTAAAAATATATTTTGCAAACAACTACAATATATCAATGACCAATATTTGAAAAGTCCTACAATTTAATTTTATGCAATTGATATAATTTTTTGAAATATTTTAAAAACAGCTAAAAAACAAAAAATAAATAAATAAACATAATATTGCTGAAAAAACACACTTATTGCAAATAAATTACATGATTCATGGGTAAGTTAGATAATAAATAGTTGTTCTTCACAAAAAAGATATAATAAAAAAAAGTTTAGACACATTTTCAAACTACTAAAGGATATAAAATATTTTTAACAGTTTTTTTTTTCAATTGCTCTGATAAAAACAGTAATTAGCTTTTTTTTTAAAAATTGTGCTCGTGGAAGTAATAGTAAACATTTTCAACTCTGATAGACTATGTATTATTATTAATGAAAGTTATTATTATTTTTTTTTAACTTAAGTTACTATAATATTCAACAAAGTTGAACATTTCATATTTTCGTTTAAATGTTGTTCAGTTTAAAACCACAATATTTTCTCTTTCCAAAACCACAATATTGATGAACTTTCATTTTAAATGTATATAAAATAAAATGATATGTTATTAAAACATATAATTTATGAAACGAAAACTCTCATGATGTTTAACAGCCAAAAATTAGCACACACACTTACTAACCAAAAATACTTAAAAAATAAATGCCTAATAAACTGTACAGTACCAAGCTTATAACTGACTAAAAATAACTTCTGCATCAAATGAATAGCTGCCATATTAGCAATAACATTCGCCTTAGCTCATTACAAACATGTGCAACTTATCAGCTTATGCAATCATAGCAAACTTAATATTCTTCTGGTGACATAACAGCAGAATTTTCTTCATGCTTACGTTTCATAATTCTACTGGGAACTATCTCACTGATAGGCTTTAAAAGTGTGATAATGACATCATCATCTCTTCTTTGAAACAGTATCTCACCTTCAAATTGAACCAGACCATGTTTACGAGCTCTTAAAAGAATTCCAACAACTTTATTTGATATTGAAGTGTATATCTGAAAAATATGTATACTATAGTTAAATACAGATAATAAAGGCATAAGATTTACAAAAAGAAGTATGTATAAATTAATTATACAAAGAAAAACTTAAACTTATTTTGTTACAGAGTAATGCTCTTCTTATGAACACATATAATTATTTCCAATAAGAGAATCGAAAATAAAAAAACATAGTTTGCCAAATATTTAATTAAAGCATTCAATTAAAAAAATTGTAACCTGGCAACAATATATATACAGGCAAACTCATTTATAATGAGCTCTGATTTAACGAGAATCCAGCTTTAACAAGGAAATGGGAAATACTTGGTTGGTACAATGTAAAATTTATTAGAACATAGCTCACTTTCAGCTAGCAAACTTTCTGTAATTCATAAAATTTATATATTCTTACATTTCTGCTGGCTCAGCTAACCTCTTCTTAAAAAAATTCTTTTAACATTTCTAACGCAACTGAAAGTTAGTAAATAATCATAAATCCAAGAAACACATGGAAATGAGTTGAGAAGAATTTGAAAATTACATATCTGTTGGTGATAATGTTATTGCTTCTTAGTATTAAGTCTGAAATCTAAACTAAAGCTGATGAAAAGATAATGAAAGTGATGACGATAAGGAAGGATGCAGATAATTTCAAGCTAAACTCCCCCAAACCTACTTAATGGCTTTTGGGTGCTTAGAGAAACTTCAATTTAATTTTTTTAAAAATTCAGCAGAACATTTTTTTGAGCCACGTCTCGGATTTGTAGAACAATAACATAACGAAGAGACAATAAGATGGTTCAAAGCAAATTAACTAACTTTTTTCATATCGAACAGAAATAAAAAATAAAGTAACTATTATGCTTTTAAATTTAACAAGAACTTAAATGTTTGAGGTCCCTTCACAGTCCTTATAAGCAAATTTGACTATATTGGGAATGTTTAAAAAAAATAGCTGGTGTTTGTGCCGTGTTGAAATTTAGTGGTAAGTATAAAAATTTGTAGTTTTGTTAATTAAATCCAATGAAAAAACGATTTATGAAAGGAACAATAGTTGTCAAAAATAGTAAAACAAAACATCTTTTTCTCTTAAAGAAGTTGAATTAAATTTATTATGGTTTGCAACCAGAATTTACACAATTATGATACTTTATGTACCAACTATATTTACCTAAGCCAGTGTTTCCCAAAGTGTGGTATGCGTACCTCCAGGGGTACAGGAACAGTTTAGCGGGGGTACGCGTTCTTATGCGAAATATCATGCAACAAACGAAAATTTCAAAATATTTTATTAAAAACAAAGCTAGCCATGAAAATTTATGATTACGTATTTTTCTATTGGCTATTTTTTGCAGAGTTAATGGTTAATAATTAGTGGTGTCAACAGCCAGTTGTGATTATTAACTTTCGTGAAATTAAATAAATTTTTTTATTAGTGGTACACAGCCTTACGAAAAATTTAGAAAGGGTACCCAAAAGTCATAAGTTTGGGGAACACTGACCTAAGCAATGGGCAAAACCATAATTTACAATAGCTAGCAGTAATATTTAATAGGTTTTTAAACACTCATTTTAAACACAAAAGCATAATTATATCAAAAATGAACCATACTTTTTAAGAAAAGTTTGGTAACTATTATACAATTAATTTTAAAAATTCGAGTTCATTCAAATTATTCAAATAATAAAGACTAAACAAGATGGTGACTCATAGACAGAGTGCTCTCAGATCATTAATATTTTACTTATATTTTAATTATATAGAGTGAATTCTCAATTACTAACATATGGATTATCTATTATGATGGTTGGTTAGTTAAAGTTTAATGGCACAAGAGCCAGAAGTGGCTATACTGAGCCAGTCACTAGGTACTTATATTAGTGAATACATTTACTTATTTTACTTATATTAGTGAATACAGTCCTGTTGTTTTGATGAACTTGATTAGATTGTGATGCATAGGGTCACTAAGTAGAGATGAAAGATTGGGATAAAATCTGCTGAAAAGTTTCTTCCTCAAATATTTGAATCGTCTGCAGTTGGTTAATATGTGTTTAATTGAAATGTCAATTTGACATAGAGTACAGCTGGGTGCAGGTTCGGCTACCAGTAAATGCATATGCGTAAAACGAGTATGCCCGATACGTAGTCTATTAATTAAAGTCTGGGTTTTGCGATCAACAGTTAATGTCTTACAATTTTAAAGATTAGGATAAATTTCATGTAGTTTATAATTATTTTGTCTATTCCAATGATTTTTCCAGGCTTGATGAACTGAAGATTTACAAATGTGTTTGAGGTCCAAACATGTCAAGAGATTACTGCTTAAGTTTTGAGTAGTTTTAGCTATGATATCAGCATGGTCATTTCCAAGAATGCCGACGTGTGAGGGTATCCAACAAAAATATATGTTGAACTGTCGGACTTGCAATTGCGTAAAGTGGTTTTGTATTACTTTCTATTATGAATCTTTCATTTTGACATTTCAAGAAAAATTTTTGATATGAAATCTTTAATCCTCAATAAAGGCTAAGTGTTGTACAGTTGATAGTTTATTGGAAAAAAGTAAACTAACAATTATGTATAGATTGGCAACTTTTGTTATTTTTGGTTGAAATAAATATAAAAGATAATCAACCCAGAAAATTTTCCATATTGGTACCTGTACAGAAAAAGTATATAATTTCGTTAATAACTTGATAGTGGAATGAAGGAAAAAAACATCAAAGAAGTGGACCGACAAAAAGGGCATAACCAGCAGCCACCAAGAGAAAACAATTGAATATTTATTTATAATTTTAATAGTACAAAAACCCTTTAGCACCCTTTACAATAGTAATTGGTGCAATCAAGTCTTGATATAGAAAATACCTTATTTAGGTACTTTATTTTATAAAATTTTTGTATATTATGCATTTCCAGTGATTCTTCATACATGCTATGGCGTATCAAATATCTCAAAACTAGTCGTCGCGAAAAATAAGTTACAACTTGTTTCCAGGTCACATAATTCCCTAGCAATAAAAGAAGAAAAAAAATAGAGTCTGAGCAGATTTATAGAGGCACAATTAAATTAAACTTTATTTTAGTGCATTCATAAAAGGAGAAAATAAATTTTTTTGTTAAATTATTATTACTGAATCAATTACCAATTGCATTTTTTTCACGAATAAACCATTTTTTATGAATATGTTTAAAGAAGAGATTTATATTATTTCAAATTGGGACCTGCTTTCGGTAAAGTCCTAAGGACCTGTAGTTTCTAAACCAAATGGAATCACTGGATTTACTTATCATAATAAAATTTTGCAGATACAGTACAGAACCCGTTATCCGGAAATCAGAAAACCGGAAAACCAAAAAACCGGAACGAAATTCGATAAATTTTCCAGCCATTTAAAAAAAAAAATTTTTTTTCCTCCTAAGATTTTAGGATTTTTCTTTCTTTTTTGAAAGATGTTTACCTTATTATCATTTGGAAATAATCATTAGTGTATGACTCCATCGTTTTTTCTTCTTTTTAAGATTATTTCTAAAAAAAAATTTTTTTTTTAGTTGGGTTTAACAATAAAAAAACGGCTTTTTGTAGCGATTCAGAAAACCGGAAAAATCAGTTATCCGGAATAGCGATGGTCCCGATCGTTCCGGATAATCGGTTCCCTACTGTATATAGGAATTTATACATAAATCACAAGTTTTTGCTTATAATTGTTTCGACAAGTTACATTCCTAGAGATATTGAACATTTTAAAATAACTATACCTCTACTTTTATGTATCTCAAGAGGTTTCGAAACAAAAATCAATAAACATACTTGAAAAAGCTCTCCAAAAGTTATTGCAACTGTACCATCTTCATCAGGATAGCCATACTCATGTATCATTTCACACAGAAAAGTAACTTCATTGCTTATGTGGGAACCAGCTGCCAAACCTCGTTGTGCAGTTTTAGATCCTTCTTCGGGTTTACCATAACGAGGGTCATTTTTATCCCATATTGGTTTCGCCATCCCAGAAACTGAGCCGGAAGAAGAGAAAGGGTTTGACTTCTGCTTCTTTTGATGTTGATCAGCTTTCTGCTGAAATGCAGCAACTCTTGCTGACAGTGCATCATTACCGTAAATTTTTATTGGAGCTTTGCTACAGCCTTCCATATCAACCTAAGAGTATTAAAAAAAAAATATTAATTTTCTTCGCTGAATAATCACTTATCAATAGTTGCAATAACAATATTGTTAAAATAAAGCAGAATAATTTTAAATTTTAATAATGATAAAAACTAGCAAAACATTTAATCAGAACACATAAAACAAAACTGTAAAAATTACAGATATTTATACTTGATAATAAAAAGTACATTTGATTCATAATTAAAGTATAAGTCAAGAAGCACATGAAGTTTTTCTTGCCAATATTTTTCTGCTTCAGTATTTTAGTATTATTAATTACAAATTACTAACAATGATCAAATGCATCTCCAATGAGAAATTTATTAAATTTATGTAAGAAATAATTGGCAGCTGAACGTGGTAGCCCAAACTTTGAACTCACCAAATAGCATGATGAGCCATAATGGCTTATTAGTTGAGCTTTCAGTGAGAAAGACCAGGATTCAATCCCAAGTGATAGCTTGTAGCAGCCTAGCTTAAGATAAATTGTACTAACCTATTTGGAAAGTAAGTACGGCTTATGTGCAGTGTCGACCACAATCTAGAACAGATTGTTAATGAAATGTTTTACTTTAAATATCATAACTTTAGTGGCAAGATAAAATAAAATGCTCCAAAGAAAATTGTAAATATTAATATTAAATAAATAAATTGTATACCTTATATTTGCAATATTAACTCTTGTACGAGCATTTGCTTTTAACCAACACAAACTATTGATATATTATACAGGTATATCATTCAAATAACAAAATTATAGTTCATCATACTTTAAATATGTTCAAGAAAGAAAAATTATCATTTATCACAGTTTATTTATCTTTGAGTAATAAGGAACAACTTCATTATGGTAATTGGGAAGTCTAAACAAAAAATTATAATAAAATAATCTAGCCTACCAGGTTTTTTTTATTTTTTACTTCAGTTGTCAAGGTTTTACTTCTGGAGAATATATATAAATCTCTTTGATTCTAGTGTACGAAATATATCACAATGCTTTAGAAGTGATTTTGCATAAATTGACAGTGTCACTACCTCTTAGCATCAACTGCAATTGACAAAGTGCCAAAGAGATTTTAAAGATGAAATTTTTTTTGAAAAATATGTAGAGGTTTGCCCAGGGATGGCTACGAGTTATACCCTTTGAGTCAATCCCCTTCAGTAATGTATTTCTTGGTTTATTGTAGGCCACTGCACGGAACATGCCAAGACATAGTGATTATTTTGACACAGGTACCAATACGGAAATCCACATATTATGATACTGCGGGAAACAATTTTATAAAGCACTGCATCACACGTGACATACAATGGCCAAATATGTTGGACAATGAATTAGAAATAAAACAGTTTCAATACTTGAAACACAATAAAATAACACACAGAAAATCTTTCGAAGCAGTCTAAGATATTGAAGTGAAATAATTTAGCTCATATTGAAATTTTAGAATAAAAGTACAGTGAAGTAACATAAAATCAAACCAATAGCAAACTTTCATAGTAAATACAAAGTTCTAAATATAAATACACAATACAATATACAAAGACATAGTTCTAAAAACAAAGGCAGACAAAGTTAATTTCAAATATCATTATTTAAAAGAGTTTCAAATTAACAGTGGGATAAGAAAGTGCCACTTCAATATTTTCAAAATAGTAAAAAAAATTGTTAGAGAGCCAGTAACAGAAAAACCTACTAAGTATTGAGAAAAGACATTTCGGTTTATTAGTATGTTCAAAATAACCAACATTTAACATTGAAACAATAAAATGCATTCCATTTACTTACGTGGAAATTTCTTAGGTTGAATGCTTGAGTAATCAGGAAAAACTTAGGTAGTCTGCTTCAAAAAATCTTTTTATAACTTCTGCGTCAAGCAGTTTACTCACGAAGATCAATCAAAATATAAACATCTGACATACATAAAAATATGTCAACAAATAGATCTTGTTGCTGAGTCCTCCTAGTTCATTGCGATCTGTGGAGAGAAGTTCGTAAAATCATCTTTGAAAAGTTTTCGTAAGTAAAAATATTGAGAGAAAGTATCAAACTGTTTGATCGGATTAAATCAGTTCAACTGAAACACTGTTTAGTAATTTAAGGTTCGTAAATGTAAAACAGGAAACTGAATCTTAGCTTGCGTAACTCAAATTCCATGATGCTATCACGCTGTTTCTGTTTTTGAGTAAGAGATCCCTTCGATTTAGTTAATTTTAAATAAGTTTAACTTAAATTTGCAAAATTTAAATCAATTTATAGATTTATCATATTTATTTTTTAGATAATAAATTTTTTGAAAAGTTGGAATAATGCTTTTATTATGTCATGTTTTAATTTTTAACTTCTATAAATGTTTGGTATCTGTCAATCGTTACATCAAATTTAAACCAATTCCATTGCAGGCCAATATTCTATTTTTTCTTCTGTAATATATACAATGGGGGAATTACTGTTTTCAATTTAAATTATTTTAAATTCAAATAATTTAGTTTTGTTTAAAAATATGACATTTTACTGCTACAGAAATATTTGAATAACAATAAACATTTACTGAAATTTATTTGTATGTAGTATAGTGTTCATAGCCATCAATTTTCATCAAGTGTATCACAACTTCTTCTAAATAAATATTTATTGTGATTAAATTTTTTTAATAATTTGCAGATTGGCATTTTGTGGTGAATGCAAGTTCAAAATTTCTATGAAAAGACTTAACTATATTGATGTATTTCTTACCAGAATTTGATAAAATATTGTATGCTTTAAATTGCTCTTGGATTTCATCTGGCACTTATTTTGCGCCTAATTTTCAAGTATTATTATTCAATATCAAGATTATGTAAAAATTTTCATCCTTTTTCCTTGCTTTTGTTCTTGGCTCTGTAATTAGCTTATTTTTTATACACAGTTTGTGTCTTCGTTTCCTAAGATAATAGGCTGATAAATGTGTTTACAAACATAAGTGATGTTCACTTTATAAAAGATTTTAGTTTATTTTATCTAAGTTCAAGATGTAAAATAGATCAAGATGTAAAATATGATTAAGTATTAAGTAATTGATAATTAATTATTAAGATTAAGTAAATGATAATTAATTATTAAGATTAAATATTTATCAATTAATTGATTTTATTTATTGATAATTATTTGATTATTATTGATTAATTATTATTTGGTATATAAATTGATTGATTAATTAATAATTGATTTTTTTTACCTAAATATCTGGTTCAAATGTATTTGTCAATGTGATTATTTTATTTTTCAGTTTCAAGTGTGTCAAAATTTGCCAGAAGAAATTTCTATTACATTGCTTTTCTTCAGGATTTTATCTTCTTAAAGGTATTCTTGTTCTTTTTTTCTTTCTTTTTTCGTTTTTGTATTGTTCAATAATTCTGTACTTGCTTATGGATGTAGTTGAAAGCACAAACGACAAACAAAATCTTTTTGTATCTCTGTATCATAAAAGTTTTGGTTAAGACCAGTAAGGAAATCAACTTTATAATTTTTTTAAAATATAATTTAAGTTTTTTTACTTAATTCCTTAGTGTTTAAAAAATAAATAAAATTAAGAAAAGCTGGCAGAGGTCTACATTTTTTGATGACTTTTTACTTGCACTTGGTTAACGGAAAAGTGTCCATTCTAATTTAGATAGCAGTTTAGTTTAAAAAATTGATATTTTTCTTAATAATTATTCTAGTAAAGTATTTGAAAAAGAAAAAAAAAAAACNAGAATCATTATAGGAATCGTCATTTGAAAAAAAAAAAAAAAAAAAAATACCATCTTCCATACCAATCTACATTTTTCTTTGCACTATGTTTATTATTTTATTGTATACTTATCTTGGTACTTGCTGTGTGACTTTAATGAAAAGTAATTTTTATTGTAGCATTAGTTAGTTTAATGGAATAAATGTATATGCAGGTTCTCGTATGAATATAAATCTCACGAACATACATCTGATCAAACAAGATTAATTTGAGTGAGTAATATAAATTTAATGGCTTGCTTAAAAAACACAAACCAATAATTTTGTATCAAGTAATTTATCTTGATTTTTTTCCCCTTGAAAATCAGCTTATTTAAAGTACTTATAATTATTTAAATATAGCTTTCACCAATATTGCACTTGATTATTTGTCCTTCTTTGCATTATTTTAAATATTTAGTGATTATACATTTATAATTATTAATTTAAATTAGAAATATTTTTTTGATTCTCTATTTAATTTGATTTCTGATTTGTACATATCAGATTGATTTTACATATTTGTAGATGGTCTGTAATCCTGTGCTTTAATTGTTGTTTAATTTGGATTATTTTTTTTATGTTTGAATAACATTTAAAACTTCTCAGTAATATTATAAAATATTTTTTAAAAAAATGTAAAATGATTGGAAATTTTTAAATGCATTAAAAATTATCAATTGATTTAAAATTATTAAAGAAATATTATGTATTTGTTGCTAGTTGGGACAATTGATTTTCCATTGGGACAATTGATTTTGTTGCTATTGGGACAATTGATGCACTTTAAAAAAGGTACAATGTTTAGCAACTTATATAGTTTGCTATTGACCTGAAGTTAGACATTGATGTAAATTGAAATCATTAGTACAAGGGGCTTTATTTTTATATACTTGTTAGGGATACATAATGCTTACAATTGTCAAAAAGGTATTTTTCTGGATTTTATTTTTTTAATTTAATTTTAAATTTATTTTCTGTTACTTCAGTAAACAAATTTTTGTTGTTTAAAATTCATTTAAAATACTTTTAGAGTATTTTTTTTGCTTCTTAACACTACAATGCATCAATAAAAGCATTATATTTAAAGATCCATTATTTTAAAATGAATGATAAAAAGTAATTTATCCTTAGGTTTTTTTTAACTGTTAAGACTAAACTACCTTTACTAATATATGTGTTTATATTTATGTAGCCCATTTATCAATTATATTCCTTTTCATAATTTTATTAATTTTAAATATTTTTAATTGAAAAAATACATTGTTTTGAGTATATCATGCTCCTTTGTATTAAAATCTGTAACAATAAATTCTAAAAAAAAAACCAAGAAATTACCTTATAACAATTAATATTAATGTTACAAATTGTACTGTTAAATAATGACACTAATATAAATAATGCTGAAACATTAAATTTTTATGCACACTGACTATGAAGGGGGAAACTTTTTTTTATACATGTACTACTAAAATAATGTTCCAACGGGTCAGGGAGAACAGGGAAAACCTGGAATTGCCAGGGAATTTTATTTCAACTCCAAAGATCAGGGAATGGTCAGGGAAAGTTGCAATTTTTTTGCAAGAACCTGGAAACTTCCTTTATTATACCTGGAAAAAAACGAGTCTTAAAATTTTCAGTAACAGTACTCAGTTTTTGAGACTTGAGTTAAATAATTCTAACATCTATTACAATTATTTATTGTAAAAATTTCACATTTTAGACAAACTGAAATGCTTCCTTCCTCATATAATGATATTTATTTTACATGGAAAATGGTTGGCATTACAAATAAAAGAATTAAAATTTTCTGATGAAAAATTTCGTAGTATAAATAAAATATGGTATTGATTTTCATTGAAATTTACCTAATATACCTGGAAAAGTCAAGGAATTTTTTTTCTGATATTGAGTGGGAACCCTGCTAAAACAACATTTAGATATTAAGTGCTTATTTGCATGTTAAATAGAGTTATAAAGTAATAAATAGGTTATTGTCATCTTTGCATATTAATGGAAAAGTGAAATTTTTTTTGAATTCTTTATTCAAAATATTCATTAATAGTTTAAAAAGACGTTTGTTGAATACTTTGTAATGGTTTGGTTACTTTTACTTTAGGATTCAAAATATTATTTAAACCTTTTGTTTTAAATAAAGTTTTTTTTTTAAAAAGAAAATATGTTTTTTTTTTTTTTTTTTTAAACCAACTCTGCATTTTGTTCCACTTGTTACTCCAGTCATAAGCAAAATTTTAGGAAAATTTGTATTTTGTAACATTTATTTTATGATGTTTATTTTGTAATGTTGTATAAAATTTTTATGTACGTGAGAATTTAATTATATATGGAAGAGTTGAAATGCTTTGCTTATTGTAAAATTTTTTCAAAAATCAGTTTTTGTTTAAAAATTTATATAAATTATACTTAACTTTTAATATTTTTTTGCATGATTTTTATTATCTTTCAGTTTTTGCCACAAATTTGTCTTTGACCCAAACACAATCAGGTGGAGATTGATGTTGTAAAAATTAGATTAACTGAATTTATCGCAAAATTTAAGTTTGCAAATAGTAGATAAAAATTAAGTACAAAAATGATGTTTAAATATAATTTGAAACTTACATAGTTGTAATGTTTAAAAGGAAATATGGAATAAATCATCTAAATAACTAAAGGAAATAAACGGTATCAAGTTCATAATTAATGTTATAAATGTTTCTAAGATATATCATTAAAGATAAAAAAAAATTTCGGACTATTATTGGAAAAACTTGGTTCTCCAATATATAGTGAACTTTACATAAAGGGAAATTTGCACTCATAAATATAGAATTTTAAAAGAATTAACACAAAATCTTATTTTTTTAAAATTTAATTTGAAGCTTATACAGTAATACTTAAAAGTAAAAAGAAATGTAGTTGAAACAATAGTTAAGTATTTAAATATCAAATCAGATTATTCTAAACGTAAAATGAAATCAAAATATCAAATCAAAATATCTCAGATTCAAAACTAGAAGAGGAATAGTATTTAAATATTTTGTTAAGTCTGTATTTTGTAAGTCCAAGCTAAAAAAATATCTGCAGATGGACTGATCTGCAGCTCAAGCTTAATTGCTAGAGGTTTTCTGATACCGTGATAATGTGTATAATTCATTCTAAGAAAATATAAATTTATTTGTTTGAAATTTTTAATTCTTTTCTGATATTTCCACTCATGAAGTAGGGTTATTTAATTATTAAATCAGGTGAATCTGAAATTTTATATTAGTTTTAACTAGTGTTAAGTTTTATATTCTTAACAGTCAGTAAAACTATATTTCTGATTGTATATCCTTTTCCCGAATATGAATTATTTCCATTAATTAATGAAAAGTGCAAACAGCTTATACTTTGCCTAATAATTATGTTTTTACTTATAGAATTCACATAAAACAATGGAGGTTGTTGCTTACTTGGCTGTAACAACTCTGTGGTGGATTTCATCTTTAACTGTATTATCTCCCTTCGTTTTGCTACTGTTGTTGAGCAAAACATTTAGAAATGGCTGGTTTTCTTTTTTCTTTGGTAAAGTGATGGGCCCATTGTGTAGTCACAAATTCATGGCCAAACGAAAAAAGCTTTTTGAATTGTTAGAGGAACATCTTCCAAATCGAGATAAATCCATTCCATTAGACATATTAGAGATTGGAATTGGACCGGGAGCGAATCTCCAGTTTTATCCCGAAAACTCGAATCTCACGGCCCTTGATATGAATCCAAGTTTTTTTCAAATTTTCCACAATAATAGAAAGAAGTATCCTCAAGTGAAGTTAGTGAGAACAGTTTTAAATTGGGCTGAAGACATGAATGAAGTTGAGGATTCTGCTTATGATGTGGTAATCAGTACTCATGTTCTTTGTTCAGTCAAGAATATAGAGTCTGTCATGAAAGAAGTCAAAAGGGTCCTTAAACCTGTAAGTTCACTCTTCTGTGATGTATTCAAATCAAATTTATTATCATTTATTTTGCTAATATTATAAGATATTTTTTATTTTCGTTTATAATTTAGCTTGTACAATATTTATGGTTTTAATTATCTGAAAAACTACAAGTTTTTGAATAGCGGGAATAAGGAGAGTAATTTAGTCTAGAAAATACTAAAATTGAGATTAATGTAATACGTAGTCGTACCTCCTTTATACGAAATTGGCGGGACAATAATAATTATTTCATGTTAACCGAATTTCATCTTATCCAATGCATCATGAAAACAGTTTATTATGTACTGACAATGCATATTCTGTACTGCGTTAATCTATTTAAACAATACTATTATGTCCGAAATTAATTAAAATTAGCTTCAGTTTTTTATAAAGTCTTAACTATTTTGTTAAAAATAACAAATGAAAAATAGGATGTACAGTGTGCAAAAAATAGGACCACCCTGAAAAACTTTTGATCTAATGATCGGATCTTAACATTCTAGGACTCAATCCCAATGGTTTTGGGGGTAAATTCTTTATTTTATACAATATATATGAATAAAAAACTTATTAAAATAAAAATATAATTGTGAAACCAAGATTTTAATTTTGTAACTCAAAACCCAAAGCATCTACTAAATTGCGTAATTCTACGTAATTACATACATACTGTTATGACTAGGAACATTAATACCTGTGCTTATGATTTGTGAGTGAAAACATGAAGCTAAAATATTAATTATACTAAGTTTATTTTTTGGAGATATAGTAAATGTGTTTTTAGAATATTTCTGTTCCTTACTTTGGAAAAATTCATAGAAATTTTAATAACTATATTAGTACTTTTTACTAAAAAATGATTTATCTACATTTAATAAACTCTTTTTTTGTATATAAATTATGATTAATGCAGAATATTTACAAAAATTTGTCTTTAACAGGGAGGAAAGTTTCTTTTCTTGGAACATGTTGCTTACCCTGAAAATGAAGGTGGTCATCTTGCACAAAGATTTGCTGCTCCCTTATGGGCTGTTTATTGTGACGGGTGTTATCCAAATCGCAACACAGCAGATGCAATTAAAAATGCTGGATTTAGTGATGTTCAGTGTGATGTTAGCTACTCACCTTCCCTATTATTGTTTATTCGCCCACACATTATCGGAGTTGCTACTAAATGAAACAAAACATTCTTAATTTACGCATTGTCTTTCACTGTATTTTATTGAAATATCGTGGTAGTTAATTAAATCTTTTCTCACACCACCAAGGGAAAAATTTATATAGTACACTTTTTTTTATTTATTATAGTACATTTTTTCTCTATTTTCATTTATTGAATTCTGAATCGGCTTAAATTAGCTGAAATTTTTCTTACGTGCAATATTTTCTCTAATAATTCTTCTTTTTTTCTTTCTTTCTAACTCATGGCATGCATTCTAGCATCAGCAGCTATTTGTTTTATTGTGAGTACTATGTTTATAAATTTTTCTTTCGCATATTGTTCATGATCTCTGATACATGTATTTTTTGACAATATAAATATTTTTCTGAATATATATTTACTTATTTTTAATATTTTTTAAGATTATGTGTATCGTTTTATTGCTAATGCATTTATGTACTTATTGATAAAGTATGATTGTTTGAATTAGGTGTCTGCTACATTATTTTTTGTTTAATAGAACGTCTTATTCCATAAAATTTCCTTGTCACATGGTACTCTAAATGGTACCAAAATGTTAACATTTTCAGTAAAATTAATTATCTGAGCTTAATTATTTTTTATTATTAGATTATTATTTTTTAATAAAATTTTTTTACTCATATTGTTCATGATCGTACATGTATTTTTTGACAATATAATATTTTTCAGAATATATATTTATTTATTCTGAAAATTTTTTGGATTATGTGTATATCGATTGCTAATGCATTTATATAATACTTATTTACAAAATGTAATTATTTGAATTAGGTGTCTGTTACGTCATTTTTTGTTTAATAGAAGGTCTTGTCCCATCAAATTTCTTTGCCCCATAATATTCTAAATGTTACCAAAATAGTAACATTTTCAATAAATAGGGCAAAATTTTAAAAGAGTAACTAGCTGAGGTTAATTATTTTTTATTATTTGGTTATAAAAAATTTTTTTCCGATTAAGAAAACTATAAATTTTAGTTTTTTCAAAAATCTCAAAAATTTAATTACCTAATTCAGTATGTTTTTGAGATACTGTTTGTGTTTCTTCTTAAAGGGGCTGATCTTTTTTATGAAACCAAAAGCTTCATATTTCAAGTAAGTTTCGCTTAAACTTAAATTGTGAAGAATGAGTTAATATCATGCCAAATGTTAAGAAATATTTTGCATGTGAAGCAAATTTACTGTTATATTTTTTTTGTTTTTGTTGAAATTGGAAGTTTAAATGGTTTAGCAATTATGTTCTATTTTATACTATTTATCAATTCTGTTGCTAGTTTATATATTTTTATTTGTATTTTATATTGTAGAAAACGATGTAAGTAATTTTTTTTATTATGACTGTCAAAAAAAATGTGATCAAGACTTTGTTTTGTTAGGCAATTAATTCATGTATTAGGTTAAAATGTAGCAGTGCAGCAAAATCTTTGGCCGGTTGCCTAATGTCCAAAATAGGGATGTATCCAATAGTGATTTGGCTAAATAGTGACGTTTTTTGAAAAAGAAATCATTTATGTATATATGTATGGTATATTTTATAAATATACAGGCATGTGATTTTCCCGCTTATTAGCAGAATTTTGCTAATTTTTTGACTGTTGATTTGCGGATTTAATCAAAAATTTATTTTCTGACAGAATTTTCACGGAGTTCCGCCAGTCTGAAATTTACTTTTCATAACTTTTGCGAAATATTGTTAACGATAAAGTTTTTCCTTTATTACCAGCATCCTCTTCCCATTTTTTTTCTATAAGTTCTTCTTCGACACCACGATACTCAAAGAAAAATTCCTTAATAAATTCATAATGCGAGAAGTAATTCCAAAAATTGGCTCACAAGTACTTAAGAGATTGTTTGGTGTTCTCATAAAATGGTGTTCTTTCCTTTTTTTTTAAAGTACAAATTCCAATTTGTTATCCTTGATTTGGCTTTATATTTGTCGTCTTTTTTTGCCTTCAATTAAATCAAATCGATATTTTTAAGTTATATGACATAAAATTTTGGCATTTGAGTATCACTTTTCAATACGCTGAACTGCGTCGTAAATCCATGCGGTGTTTAGATTATATTTTTGAAGTAGGGAGGCAGTCTCTGGTAATATTTTCTCACAGTTTTTAATAACCCTATTTTATTACACAGTGCAAAATTCGTGAGTTTTTCTGCAGTTATTGCCGTTAATTTTTTTAAATTGTGTTATATTCCGTACGATATTATTACGATTACGGAAATTTAAATTGTGCATTCGACTTCATTATTTGACGTGATGATACATTCGATTTTTTGGCAGTTGTTGCTTCTGATTTTCGCTTGTTTTTTAAAGCAGTTAACGCCGTTGATTATTTAAACTCACGTTATATACCATATTATTTCGCTTGTTTTTTAAAATCATAATATTTATTAATTATAAATATGTTTTATTAATTGTAGTGAATCTCAAAACGTGCATTCGATTAACCACTTTTTGACATGTCAATAATTTTACATGTTTGATGAAATACTTGTGGGTTCGCATATATATATATATATATATAAAGTCACAAAGCTCAGTTATGGTTTTGGATTTTTAAACGTTTTAATATAATTAAAAAAAAGTTTTTTTCTCTTTTTTTTGTTATATATATAAGTTAATGGGTCAGTGTATTATGTATTGTACATATTTATATATTTTACTAATATGTGGGTTATAATATGATTACTAATTCAAGAATATTCTACAATAAAAATCATACTAATTTCATAATATTTGGGTGGTAGTATATTGTTATTTACGACTTACAAAATTTGAAATCCATAGGGATAGTATTAGTTAGATGATTTTTATCTATTATGAAACTTTGCTTACTTGAATGCATTCAATATATACGTATCATACTAGTAAAGAAATGCCCTTTTTGTTCGCCAAATTTTCTGAAAGCACTGTTATAAATTTAGATGTTGCTATATGCAATTTTACATGCATATGCCGTTTTATTAATGAAATAATTTTAAATATTTTTGTGGTTTTCGAGTTCTAATACATTCTGATTTTATTCTGACGTTTGCATTTATTTATTTTTGTTTTTTATTTCTTGGATATATATTTTTATGTATATAAATGAATATTTGTGTGTGGGTGGATGTGTCCTTTATAGACTCCTAAACCATCCAACCGAAATCAATGAAATTTGGCATAATAGTAGTTTGAAGCACGAGGAAGGTCACTCTCAACATTAAAGCATTCTACGACGAACCGTTTGATCGGGATGAGTGAAAATAGAAATGGAATTTTCTGATGGGTTAAGCATTAGCCATTATTTTAAATTTAACTGTAGATGATTCATTTTTTCACATACTTTAAAAATAAAATCAGTGATAATTGCTAGCTTTTAGCTCTATCTAATCAAAAAATTAGTTTATTGCACATATTTAAGTATTATTTACGTATTGCACGAATTTTATATTTGTTATGTCAGATAAATTCAATGAACAACATTACGCAGTAGCCCGTGTGGTCTAATTTCACTTTTAAAGTTATCTGATACCACGCCCTTTTTTTATTTATATTCTTTTGAAGCATATTTCTATAAAATTAATTATTTAAAATCAATGGTAATTGATGGAAAAAATATTTATGTATTTAAAAGGTAAAATTAATGGGAATGTGGTACTAATTCGTTTAGGAGAAACGTAAAAAATCGCCATAATATTATTGACGCCAGTGATGCTTAATTAATTTAGGTAATATATGTAACATATTTAATAACATATTTAAATAAAGGAAATAAGCTATGTACTAGAAAACAAGGTAATGGAGGAAATGTATTTATTTGCCTAGAAGAACCGTAAGAAATCGACATACTACTTTGACGACAATGATGCTTAATTAATCTTGGTAATATGTTAATTGAAATTAAAAAAAATAAATTATGTAGTAAAAAACAAAAATAATGGAGAAAAGATACTTATTCATTTAGGGAGTCGTTAAAGATCGTCATATTATTATTGATGGTGATGCTTTACTAATATTGATAATTGTAGATATTATATGAAATAAAATAAAATAAACTCTGTGCTAAAAAGCAAAGTTAAACGAGATAAGGTTAATAGGAAATTCGTTTAAGAAAATCGTCATTCTCAGATAACGCTTACTGTTATTATGGTAATAGGTGCAGTTTTGATAAAAATTCTACAAGAGGTTTTCAGAAAATATTTTTTCCAGGGGTATAACAAACATAGTGTGTTAATACTTGAATTTATTAAAATTCAAATAACTTTATTTTCACCGCTACTTATAAATATTTTAACGTACATTAAAGGTCGGATAAATAAATGGTCATGCTCCAAAATCTTTATCAAGTTCTTATATGAATTCTATTTCAAAAAAAAAAAACGAAAAAAAATTCGGCTTAAATTGGCTGCTACTAACAAATGATGCAAAAACTCAAATGTTGAAGGGTTTTGTTATAAGTACCGATCGAAGTTATTGTTTAATTTTTTCAGTGCATCATTATGGATTAGCATCGCAAAGGCAATTGCGATAATTGCATTGAATAATTCTTAATACAGTAAGTGAATAAAGAGGGAAAAGAACAACAAAAAAACCGTGAATTAATGAATCGGTGAAATTATGAATCCTGAATTAGTGAATATGTGGGGAATTAATTATCGACTATGTCAACCTTCATCTATCAAAAGGTACCTCGTGATAGAATCAAGTTAACATGTTTTATATACTAGTGAATTGGTATTTAATATTTATAGTGGTTGTTACGCCACATTACTTCCCTTCCAGAATTGTATCTGTGATAGAATTCGATGAATGAATTCCACTAGTTGATTCATGCTGTTTATTTATTTACATAAATATTTGCTCATCATATTTTTATTTTTTCTTCTTCTTTTTATAGCTTTTCGCTATTTTTTTCCCATCATTTTTTTTATAGCTTTTCGCTATTTTTTTCCCATCATTTTTTTTATAGCTTTTCGCTATTATTATTTTTTTTTCTAGCATTTCGCTCATTATTGTTTATTAACCGGGAGAATTTATTTACTTCACCGGATTTCTTTTTTTTTTTTTTTTTTTTTTTTTTTTTTGAGCAGTATATTTTTTTAAGCAAATCAACTGTTTAATGTGGATTCAGCCATCTATATTGACAATTTCTTATCACATCCGTAGGTCACCAATGTGGGGAATTAATTATCGACTATGTCAACCTTCATCTATCAAAAGGTACCTCGTGATAGAATCAAGTTAACATGTTTTATATACTAGTGAATTGGTAATTAATATTTATAGTGGTAGTTACGCCACAAATACTAAAATAATTTTAAAACTAATAACTGAATTTTAATTTTTTTTCAAATAAATTGGTAGATAGTTCAGGAACGTTAAACCTATATCGATTAATGTATCAATCTTCTATTTTTTCTGTATCTAAATTGCAATAGATCAACGATGGCCCTCAGGATATCAGGATAGGCAAGGATTGTCTTCAGATCATTACTAAGCTGATATCCTAACCATTGTCAACAACCCATTGTGGCTTCAGTGTGACGTTACCAATCAAATAAAATAAGGTATCGCGATAATTAAAAGTATTCAAACTATAGAACTGAAATGAACATTTGGTAGAAAAAAAAAAACTCACTTTTTAGCTGTAAAAATGTTTAACATTTATAATTATGTTTATGTAAACCCATCGACTTCAGTGTAAATACTTCGGCAGAGAGAATAATTATGGGTTTTAAAAAATTGTTTGTCTATAAGTGAACTGGTTCGCATGGTATCTCGCATGTAAATTAAAAAAAAAAAACATGTAATTTTGAAACATATAGGGGAGACAGGGGCTAGTGAGAACACAGGGCTAAAATAGACAAATAGAATATTTCTTTCATTTATCAATCTAACATTTTCTGTAAATTTTGGCAAGAGGACAACAAATGTCACATTTTTATGTGTAGTTTCAAGACAAAATATTAAACTTTTGAATAAGCAAAAGAATCTTCTTATATGGAAAAGTAACTTCTTAATTTTTACTTTAATTGCAATTTTAGACTTTTTATTTACTACTTTATCTATCGCAGATATTATGTTATGAATGAATGTCCTTATTACACATTTTAAAAGACACATTTGTCGTTTTTCAATTTACCAATAATGAGTTTAAAAGAACTAACTCAGCAGTAATTTCCTTTACCATTTTAACGTCTAGAGGTCTGGTTGGGCACTATTCTCAAAGAAATTTTTTCCCCCACAAAATAACATAATGGTGGTCAAAAATTTATTAAATAATCGAATTTTGTCCTAGTTTCGCTACCAATATTAGATTTTCCTATGAACTGAGCCTGATTAAGGAGGAGGCATACGGACTACGGAGTAGTTGCCCTAAACCCCACATCAGAGGGGCCCCAAATCAAATAGAAAGTTTATTTTAGGTTTTTTCCTTTAATGAACTTTTTTTAAGCAAAATATCAGTACAGTGTAAAATCAGTCAAGTTTTATGTTAGCTTTTTCATTCTTCTATAGTGTGAACATAAAAAATCTATGTTTCGTAAATTCATGACTTTCAAGTGCGGAATTAAGCTAAATTTTCGCAATTTCGATGGACAAATTTGGCCAATCAAAAGCCTGCACTTTTACGTGTCGCAAAATGTGATATGTTTATAAAAATACAATCTTCTGATTGGCTTAATTGAGCCATCATAAGTGCTAAAATTTAGCTGAATTCCGCCCTAATGTCAGCAAGGATATGCATTTTTCGCAGCTAGATGATAAGGTAGACGCAGCTAGAAGTTAACAATCAGAAAACTGCATTTGACATGATGGACATAGAATTGTCAGAAAATCGGTAAAATGGACAGAACGATATTTCATCTCACCATTGGAGGGGGGGGCATAGCCATTTTAGGTTCTAGTCAATTTTCTTGTTATATATGTATAATGAGGTGAAAATTTAAATACCTCCATAAGTTCGGTTCTTCATTACTGAAGTAGAGAGGGGCCCTCACAATTAGGCTATGTCGAACCCTGCCTATGAACTATCGGAACGCAAATATAATCTTTACATATTTACTCAAACGGAAGTTGTATAGATTCATTCAATATTTATAATGCTAGTTGCGAGACTTAAAGTATTGAGAAACACTGGCATTTATTATAACTTTGCAAGCACAGTTGTGCTTCCTCTTCAGAAAAGTCTTCAAATTTTTTTTTAAATAAGTAAACAATTATTTCCTTTTTATTTGAAGAATTTATATTAAACGCATGCTTTTACTTAACGGAAAATCAAATTTAAATTCAAACATAAAAATAAATAATTATTACTCTTCAAAAAAGAACTGGTCCCGCAGTGGACTGATCGTTAAGACACGGTTCTCAGCAGATCACCGAAGTCAAGCATCACTGGCTGCGGTCAGTGTGCGGGTGGGTGACCACTTGGATTAGTCTGCGTAGGGACCGAGGGTGTGCGGTATGGGTCCTCGTTAAACTGTGCTACCGTAAAGGGCTCGACTTCGCGTGCAGGTCGTTGGGCTACCGAAGCGAGGGTGCCATCCCCTCTGCAGAGGATCAAAATTGTGATGGCATGTCTTCGGATCATCCTCAGGGATGTTTCCCAGACCGTCGCCAATAGCCCATTGTGCAGCTCTAGAGCGACGTGAATGAACTACAACAACAACATCAAAAAAGAAAAGATAAATCATGCAGTCAAAACTTCGACCAGTTTTCCATTATTGAAAGTGCTCAAATTTTAGCTGGTCTTATGTATAGGATGACAATTTCAACTATAAATTGCGTTCTGACCACTTTCAGCAAGTTTTATCGCCAATTGAAACTTTGACTATTTTCTGGCCTAAACAAACCAGGAGACACAAAACTGGAATGCAGAAAACACGAAAAATCAAGAATTTATATATATATTTTAAAAGCCATATTCAGTGGACTAAAAATGAGAAACTAAAGAAATAAAAATTGCCACACGTAACAAAATACGCAATTACAAAATTTCGCAATGAACTATCACCATTTAAAACTCCACTTTTAAAATACACTCATGTCCATAAATTAAAGATAATTCAGAATCACACGAAAATCAAACTCTAAAATTAAAATTTCACCTGTAGAATTATCACACACATCCTGAAGAAGAATATGCAAATTACAGGAAACCACTAGATGACGCTGGTAGTACGTCACAATGACGAGAGTGTAAGAGAGGGGTATATAAGTAATGGTGACAAAGAAGTAAAATTGTTCATAAGCGCTTTAAAAGCCTTTCTGTGCAATAACCGCATAGTTATGGCACAAAGGAAGCATTTGGATGATTTTTTACGTGACAGAATCATCGGACGACTGGAATGTGGACGTACCCAGCTGGAAGTATCCGAGGAACTTGGAATCACCCAGAGGGTCAACTCCAGTCTTTGGCAACGATTCCAAGATGATGATAATGTGAGTAGACGTTACAGCACAGGTCGCCCCCGAGTTACAACGCCGAATGAAGACCGGCATTTGGCAGTTACTGCCAACAGAAACAGACGGAGCACAGCATCAGACCTGTCTCGTCAGCTCTCTTCAGCTACCGGTACGACAGTTTCAAGGCAGACCGTGTACAGACGCTTAGGGCACATTGGTCTATATGCTCGCAGGCCTGTCAGATGTGTTCCACTTACCGCAACTCACTGTCACCTGCGATTAGCCTGGAGTAGAGAGCATGCATTGTGGACACCGCAACAGTGGTTTTGTGTGATGTTTTTCGACGAGTCCAGGCTTATTTTGCAGTCTGATTCTCGCCGGACTTTCATATGGAGAGTGCCAGGTACCCGTTACCACCAAGATAACACCATTGAACGACACCGCTACAGTGGTGCAGGATGGCTCGCTTGGGGAGGAATTATTCTTGATTCCAGAATTGACCTGCATGTTCAGAGTGTAACGATGGCAGGCCACATCTATAGGGATGTCATTCTGGAACAACATGTACGTTAGTTTCGGGGTGCCATTGAATTTCTGTTTATGGACGACAACGCCCGTCCTCACGGTGCAAACATTGTAGACGAATGCCTTCAATCGGAGGATATCTCCCGTATGGATTGGCCATCATACTCACTGGACTTGAATCCAATAGAGCATGTGTGGGATATGCTTGGCCGACGAATTGCAGCCCGTCAACCCTCTCTCACGTGTCTACCGGACTTTCGGAGGGCATTGCTGGATGGGTGGTGTAATATTCCCCAAGATCAGATTGATAATTTGATACTCAGCATGCCTAGGCGTTGTACGGCCTGTATTGCATCGTCGGGGAGACATACTCCATATTAACCATCATACTAACCATATTATACTATTTTTTGTAAATAGGTTCTTTTTTTTTGAAATATGCTCCAGGGAGTAAAAATCGAAATTTTTATAATTATGTCAAACATATAGCATGTTTTTTGCTTTTTACCTTTTGTTTAATACATAGACTTTACAAATAAGTCAAATTTGTTCTGTCTCTTTTTGTGCCTGAACTTCATTATCCTTAATTTATGGACATGAGTGTACATACTCTCATTGCAAGTTTTATCAATTTAAATGAATTTGAATTCTCTGACTCTCAAAGACTGCGTCATTCTGCAATCTGATCAATGTACTTTCTTAAAGATAATTCTTTTAAAACCCCTCTATTATTTCAGAAAGCTTATCAGCTAAGTAAACGAAACAAGTGGATAGTTATGCAAATTCTATTTGTTCTTGAATATTCTATAAGGAGCTGATGCTGAGTAAGTTACTTAAAATCCTTTTAGTTTACAGTGAATCGCTTTTGTTAAAAGTCTTTTCTTATTTTTTTTTATTTCCCCCCTCCTATGTTTTTGTTTTCTGTAAAATTTTGGTTACAGTGTTTAATTTGACAAATAATAACCTTTTTCAAAATAATATTTTTGAAAAAAGGTTATTATTAAAATAATATTTTTTCTCTTTATTAATTTAGGAGAAATATCATTAAATAACTTTTAACTCTATGTTTTTGATTTCGATAAAATTTTGGTTACAGTGTATAGTTTGACAAATAATAACCTTTTTCAATATAATATTTTTGAAAAAAAAATTATTTTTAAAATATATTTGTTCACTTTATTAATTTAGGAGAAATAGCATTAAATAAGTTTTAGAACATATTATTTTTCTGAAAAAATTTGATTATATAAAATCGTACGATTAGTAAGTTTTGATATGTAATTTAATCTGTAGCGATAGTACAGACAGTACTCTGTTCTTTAGATTTTTAAAAATTTACTTTCACTTTATTTTAAGCTGACGAAAACCGATTTGGATGAAGTTCAAATATTATTGTTACGTAGATTACGCAAAAACAAGGAATTTTTTCGAATGTCTAAAAACAGAAAAAGTCATCAATATAAAACATATATTGTCAAATATATAAAACATCTTTCGAGAAATTCTGATCTCCAGGGTGTGCTCATCCCCCCAAATAAATGGGGACCTTCCCCTTGTAAATTTGAAAATCCCCCCACCCCATTTCTGAAAAAAAAAAAAAAAAAAGTACAAATAAGATGTTTATTTAAACAGCAATATTTCAGCTATATCCGATCTATCTGAATTCATTCAATATTTAGCTATATCCGATCTATCTGAATTCATTCAATATTTAGCTATATCCGATCAATCTCAATTCATTCAATATTTAGCTATATCAGATCTATCTCAATCCATTCAATATTTAGCTATATCAGATCTATCTCAATTCATTCAATATTTAACTATATCCGATCAATCTCAATTCATTCAATATTTAGCTATATCCGATCTATCTCAATTCATTCAATATTTCAGCTATATCCGATCTATCTCAATCCATTCAATATTTAGCTCTATCAGATCTGTTAGAAATACTTTGTGGAACATAATTTTTAGAAAACGAACATTGTGAAAAAGAAATGAAAAAAGAAAAAAAAAAGCACTGGAAAAAAAAATGGAATCGCTATGCAAAACTGACATACAAAATGGATATGTGTTGTTCTCTTTAAAAATTATACCAATTTAAGAATCAATTCGATTTGGACCGTTGACCCCAAATTTAATGTTATTAAATACGTGTTCAATTGTAACTAGATATTTTAAAAGAAATTAATTTATATGCAAGGATTGTTTAAAGTAAGCCGAAGGAAATTTTTAAAATTTTATTTATTTTTTAATTATATATCTTCTACTATAGTATATTTCATATACTATGCATCCATTAGCATTAGCCATACTCTAGCTGAGTATTAATTACTCTCTTTCTCTGAGTATCTAATTAAAAATATTTGTTAAAATGATGAAATGCTTCATCACAATACAAAGCTTTTTTTAAAAGAAATTATTTGTTTAAAAAGTATTATTTTTATGTGATTATCATACCGCAGTACGATAAGAGTTAATATTGATATTTGAAAAATTTTAACGCTCAGATTAGCGTATGAAATAAACGTATTAAAAAGTATAAAGTGTAAAAAGATCATTTTCGCAATCTTCAAATTAATCCTTTAATTAATTTTAAAATAATATATAACTATTTAATCAATATTTAATTAATTAAAATGTAATCAATTTATAATATTTGACTAATTTGTAGTATTTAATTAATTTATAATATTTAATCAATTTAATTTATAATATTTAATTAATTTATAACATCTAATTTATACAAACTCAATTTTGTCTTGCGATGTTCATTTTCTATAGTCTTTTCTAACGATTTATTGTTTGAGGCAAAAAGTAAAATTTGAACGAAATCGGTCGAATAGCTCGTGAGAAATCGAATTTTAAAAAAGTGTTTAAAAGTTGGTTTTTCAAAAAAATTTGTTCTGACAAAAAAACTTTTGTAACTGCAATAGGAGTTGTATTACAATATCTATAACAGCGATTCTTAATAAGTACATTTTATCATTCCTTTATTAGAACATTTGAAACCATTATCTAATTTAAATGATAATATTAATTTTTGACGAGCATTAAAAAACGATCTGAAGAAAGAAACAAACAAAAAACATTTTGTAAAAAATACTTTTTCTTCTTCTTAAATTCACTAAGGGTTAGGGAAGAATGAACGTTACATCACGCCAATCGAGAATAAACGTTACAAGAATTTATTTCTTTACATTAATATCCCCAAGGTGTATAGTGCGGCTTTCAGGAGAACTCCTCCAGACACCCGTCTCGCATCGTGGCGGGTACTATGGTTACGAGGAACTGTAAGCTAATCTCGTCTTGTAATCCATAGCCACTTTATTATACAAGTAGCTCACTTTTATAACTAAATCTGAAACCATTCTTAAGTTAAGAAAATCGACAGTGGCATCTTGTATAAGGATGTTAAGTGAAAAAGAGTTAGCAAGTCCAATAAAATGTTATTTTGTATTATTGTGCTTTAAGTATTGTTTTTTGTGAGAAAATTATTTGTTGTCCAGTGAATTTTAAAACAGAAATGTTTTTCTAAAATGTATTTATCTTTTTTTTATAGTTCTTAAACATCAAAAATGAGAGCTGTTGTGTATCTTAAAAAAATTGAGGTTGCTGTCTACTTGATTTTGTCAATGCTCTTATGGTTTTTATCATTTTCAGTTTTTTTGCCGTTTGTGATCTCTCTTGTACTAAGTAAAACCGCCAGTCATCTATGGTTTTCTTACTTTTTCTCAAAGTTTCTAATGCCATTGTTTGGTTTTATGGTCTTATCTAAAAGAAGACAACTCTTCAATATTTTAAAGGAACATCTGTCGAATCGCAACAAAGCTGTTCCCTTGGAAATATTGGAGATTGGAATAGGACCAGGTTCCAATTTAAGGTTTTACCCTGAGAATTCTAACCTTACTGCCCTTGACGTCAACCCTTCATTCATAGAAATTTTTAATAAAAATAAAAAGTATTATCCTCAAATCAGTTTCAAAAGAACGGTTTTAAATTTTGGTGAAGATATGAAGGACATCAATGACTCTTCCTTTGACGTGGTCATCAGTACTCATACACTATGTTCCGTGAAAAATGTTGAGCTAGTCATCAAAGAGGTGAAGAGAGTACTGAAGACTGTAAGTATTTATTTTTAATTTTGTACATTTAAACTTTGAAAAAGTTGAAATCTTTAAAATTGAAAAACTTTAATTTCAGAAATCAAATTTTACTTTTTATTGAGTAAAATTTTACAATTTTACTCAAATTTCTACTTTTTTAAAAAGAAATGGTAACTCAGAAACTATTTAACCCATTTCGTTCAAATTTTGTATTTTGTCATTTAAAAACTACAAACTTTATAATGATAAAAAAAAACTTGTAAACCTTAGAATTAAAAATTTTTTCGGCTATTAGTAAATAACCTAAAAAATATTAAATAATTTTTTTTATCTGGAGTACTTTATTTTTGTTTGGATAAACGCATTTTATTGTTGTGTGTAAAAACTTTTCGATTCGCTTAAAAAGTTCTCGAGACATGGCGAAGTATGCAAAGTAAAATTAACATTAAAAGATCAAAATGTTGACTTTTCTCCTGCCTAAACTATTGGGACCATATTTACCAGAGTAAGGCTACTATACACATATTTTAAGAGTCTAGAATCTAAATCCGTCACAAAAAAAAAAAAAAAAAGTTTTATACGTTTTTGTCTCTGGTTTCGTAACTTAAAATATAGTCTGCACTAATTAATTAGCACATTAAGGGATAGGTCTTCTAGAAAATTCTAATTTTAGATTATAAGTAATTCTGGATGTTCGTTTTTTTCCCCGTACTGCACTAATACTTTCCATCCTACAAATATCTTATTATAGAAGTTACAATTATGAAATGCAAAGTAAATATTTGGAGAAGAAAAAAAAGTAAAAGTGTCTGGTTGCTTCAATTGAATGAAAGTTTCTCAGAATAAGTTTGTAGATATTTTATTTTTTAACACAGCATATTACTCAAATGTTTACTTCAGTAAAATTTTTTAACTATTATGAGCATGTTAACTGATTGAAAACTTCATTCACTTCAAAAATATACGAAAATGAAATAACAGTTGACATGTTTCAAGCGCATTAAAAATAGGCACCCACTTTCTAGACTTGCCGAACGTGAATGTAAGGAAAAAAAATGCGATTGAAACTGGTCAACCGTTATTTCATATATTATATTTTTGACTACCCATCTCCGGCGACAAGCTTGTTCACCTTTTTAAATAATTGGAATTTCTAGTATTTCAATAATTAAAATCGTGTATTCGAAAATTAAGACATGTAAGCATAAACTTAAATCACTCAAGTAATATTGGATTTAGTTTTAATCACTTACATCTTCGCCTGATATCGTGGTGAATTTGTTGTTAAAATGTTCAGTAGCACCTATACTTAACACTTAAAAAAATAATAATTTGGCTCCTTTGATGGATAATGAAATAACTCAGCAACTTTTTTAAATCAAAAATCGTTTTTATTTGATATTATTAATCATCCGAACCAATGAGTTTTATTTGAAAGTTTTTTTTTTCTACCAAAGTGAAATAAACTTAAACTTATAAATTCTTTTAAGTTACAGAATATTCAAATTTAAAAAAAAAGAGCACAATGCACCTTAAAGCCAAAAATAAACTAAAATATATAATTTAGCTTAATGGCTCTATTCACGAACTAATAGTCTACATAACTAAGTAAATGGATATTCACGTTAAGAAGTTAAAATCGGCCATATGACATCGGCCATATGACGGTTACATTCATATGACATGTTTAATTGGTAATTAAAATGGCATTTTGATTGCCACTTAGTTTTATTTTATTTTCTTAAGTCAAAACGAAAGATTTCTTGCTGGAAATTTTTTTTTACCTATTATTTAGACCCAAGACTGATCCAGGCCTTAAATTTTAGTACACAAACATATCCTTTCATGTTTCTAGCCGCTGTTGGTGCTTAACCTCTAGCCATCGAAAATTTGAATTACTTTATAAGTTTTACGATACTTTCATTTAAAGGATATTATTATATAGTTAGAGAATTAAACAATTTTGTTTAAAAAAATTTCAAAAATAGTCATTTTTATTAATATATGGCAACAAAACGTTTTTGTATAAAAGTTAAATAATTTTAAACGTCTTGAAATTGAAATATATATATATATATATATATATATATATATATATACACACANTTAATTCTTGTATTACATATATATCTACACACACATACACACACACACATACACACACACTCTTATATATATATATATGTGTGTGTGTGTATGTAGCATAAAAAGTTTCTATTAAACTTTTTATGTTATCCTAATTAACTATTCTAATCGAAATACTTTCTCACACTTTTAAAAGCCACACCCTGTTCTTAAATCAATTTTTGACTCAAGTATGCATTTAATTAAAAGCAGGACATTTTCTTCTTTCCTCTCTGTGGGAAATGCTCTATCTATTTCATAAACCAATAGCAACTACTAAGATTCCTCTCTTTCCCTAAATTAAGACATTTTACGGATTTTACTTTGCAGGATTTTCCCTAACATATAACCAAGGAGCACAACTTTCAAGGGCGGCGCCAGTAGGGGGTCAGGGGGGGGCAATTGCACCCCCGTCGGGAATGGCCAGCCCCCCCCCATCGGGAAAAATTTAGAGTCTCGTCGGGAAAACAGTCTGGTCACATTTTTTTCTAAATAATGTCAAAAAATGCCTAATAAAAATTTTTGTAGTTAATTTTTTATTTTTAAGAATCAGTAACAAAAATTAGTAAAATATATTGTAAATTCTATGTAATTGTAGTTTCACTGCACTACTTGTAACTTTGCCCATACATTGTTAAACTAGAGACCGGATGCGATTAGACATGGTTAAAATTGGCGACTTTTCGAAGTCCCTTAGAAATCCTTTCCCACAGACACATCTTCCTTTTCTTGGAACAAAAGCCTGGGAGCAGAAAGAGACGCAGGTCCCCTTCTTTACAAATTCTTTCTTGATGTTATGTGTTTATCAATGGTTTATGGGATCACATAATTGTTTTTTGAAATTTTCAAGTAAAATAAAGGTATAAGAAGAAAAAAAATTTCCAATTTTTTTTATACTTTTAAATGAGGAAAATCATTTACTTATTCGGATTCAAGGTTTATATTTTAATCAACGCAATAAATATGCAGTCGGAAAAAAAGAAAAAAAGTAAAAAAAAATTTTTACAATTTATTATATTTTTTTTTATCATTGTCTTAGTAGTAAAAAGATTGTTGATTGATACAGAAAAACAATTAAACTGTTCGTATTCAATGTCTTTAAATATATATTAATCAACAGATTCTCATTGACTTATTTTATGTACAGTGTATGAAATGGAAGAAGGGAACACCTTGATTAACTTTTGATTTAATCATATTTTCACCTACAAAGAGTCAATACCATACTTTAAGTTTCGAAAATGACCAGAAAAGCGCATTCTGTTCTGGATAAACCTTCAAGTTTGTCTATAGTTTAATTTTCAAAATGAGGAAACAGCCGCAATCTGGAAGATATGGTCTGAAGTAAGTTACGGCAGAGAGAGATAGTTGGAAAGTATGGGTCCTTTAATTTTAACTTCACTCTTCGATTATAGCCTATTATCTCGAGAACTTTTTGAGTGTATTGAAAAATTTTTGAATAAAATAACGAAAAACATTTTGCACACAAATTTTTAAGCAAAATTAATTTTAAATAATTATTATTATTTTTTTTTTTAGTTTATTAAATAGTAGTAAAATATATTGAATTGTATGTTCAACATATTTTTACATCCTTTTAATTTCAAAATACAAACCTTCAGTGCAATCGATCAATTAGTTTATGAGTTATCAAATTTTAAAAATGTCAGTTTGCTTAAAATTTTATTTATCTCGAATTATTCAACCGATTTCTCTCAAATTTTGTATTTTACAATTTAAAATTACCTTCCATAAAAATTTGTATATCTTGCTATTTTATTTTAACCGTCGTTGAATAACCGACCCAATTTTCGTGTTTACGACTACTAATGTTCAACTCCGTAGCCTTGTAATTTTGAACCCAATCCAGCAGACAAGTGAACTCCTGGATCAAGTAGTGGAAGAAATGTTTGCCTTCGTGGAGGACGTAAAAGGTTATTCGTTGCAGGCGTATGTCAATATGCAAAAAGCTTTTGCAGGGCGAAACAGAAATCTTGGTAGAAAGTGTACTTTCAGCTTTGCAGAGAAACGAAAACATAGGCAGACAAACAACAGCCATGTGTGGCAATTTTTAAAAAAAATGTAAGTTAGTTAATATTTGTTTCTCGGAGGCAAATTTAAAATTTGTAAATTGAAAAATAATTACAAATTTAAACTATATTGTTTGAATCTTATATTTTAAGCCGATAGACTTACTCTTTTTCTCAAATGGAGAAATTAGCATTTTGCCGGACATAGATGTTCACTTTAAAAGCATCTTTGAAAAGAAAAAGGAGACGCAAGGAGAAATTTTAAAAGTCTCTTTGTATTTAATTACAATATATATTAACGTCGAGTCCCCTCATTAAAATAGCCTTTTTTTTAAAATTATACTATGTAACATTAAAAAAAAAAAAAAATTCGAATTTTACAATTTTATGGGCATAACCATTTCGAAGTTCGTTCAAAACGGGGCATGATATCTTTAGATGGAATACGTGGACGCAAAAAATGTACTTAAAACTTTATTTTCAAAACATTTAAATGATTCAAAAGCCAATCGATGCACATAAAAATAACATTTTATATCAAAATGCTCTTTAAATGTTTTGTTAAATGTGCATGAAATTTTAAATTTTTATTAACGAATAATTTTTGAGTTATAGCGTAGAAATTTTTTGAAATTGTGGTTACTGCTACAACTATTTTTTCTCATTACAGAAATAATTTTTACGCTTACAATGTATGGTAAATTTCACCATACAGTACAAAATACATCGGTAACAGAAAAAAAATTAGATTTAAATTTACATTAAAAGGAATCTGCACATTATGGTATCAATATTAGTGATTTTAGATTCTTAGAAACACACTTTAAAAAAATGATGTGAGAAAAAAATTTAAAGTATGAAATTCGTTTTAATTTAAATATTTTGAATTAATTTGTTTGAGCCCCCCTGTCGGGGGAGACTTGCCCCCTTGTCGGACAGAGTCTGGCACCACCCTTGACAACTTTTCGTGTTCACTTTTACACTTCTCATGACTGCTCTGCTTAATAATTAATAAATAAATTTTGTACCCTCCTTCCCGGCCTAAGACCTGTTTTAATCCTTCCACTCGGCAACGACGTTATATATATATGATAAGAATTTGTAAAATTAATAATTTAATGTACTTTTAAAATTTATAGTATTTGAGAAAACTGTATCAAAGGAAGAAAAGTTAATAAATTTTTAAAATACCAATTCATTTCACGAAAAGATAACTTCTGATTTATTATATTGATTTTTTTCTGGTATCNATATATGAATTCTACGAGAGCTATCGCAGAAAACCCTTATAACTTCTAATTTTTTATCTATCTATAATATATTAGATTTCCCGGTCATCAATTCTTTGATGTAAAAGTTTCTTTCTGTTATAGGGAGGAAAGTATATTTTCATGGAACATGTTGTTTTCCCAAAAAATGAAGGAGGTTACCTCATTCAAAATCTCATGGATCCACTATGGCCTATCTTATTTGGTGGATGTCATGTAAATCGTGACATTACTGGAACAATAAAAAATGCTGGTTTCAGTGACCTACACCATGACGTTAGTTATCCTGTTTATTTACCAATTTGGTTCCGACCACATCTCATCGGAATCGCCACTAAATAGTAATGGAATAAATATGTCTTGAAAAATTTGAAATCATTATACACAAGGTGTTTGAAAGTCTTATATATTAATTTTGTGTAATTAATTGTATATTAATTTTGTTATTAATTTTGTGCATAGCTGCAAAGAAGAGATGCAATAAAAATAATCAGCGATGATTATTAATGCTGTTTTTCGAAGCGTAGTTGAGGAAAATAGAAAAACCACAGTTTAAGTGCCTTACACTTAAAGCATTGCGATGAATTTGAACTATATATATAATCTTGCCGTGAAGAATTATCTGGGCTTTAGAACAGGCAAATAACTTTTATATTTTGAAAGCTATTAAACTTTTTAAAAAATCACAGATTTAACTTCATTTTTCCACCAAAATGAAACTTATCGAAATCACTGCTTCTTTCTCAGTTTTAGCAAATTTCTATGAGCCCAAGTAATGCAGCATTGGAGTAAGTTTTTAAATATTAAAAAATTAGACCACAAATGGTTTTTCATTATCGCAAAACTGTTTCTTTTCTCCATATTGGCGTTTTGTGCCTTTTTCAAAATAAGCGTAAACAGTGCTGGCTTCAGATAGGCTAAACTTGACCTAACAGTCATAAGTAACAGTTGCAAACTCACAACAGTTATTATTCACAAAAAAAGCACTACGCTGACTTAAAAAAACAGCCTTAAAGTTTAATCTAAATAGCAGTTCTACTTGTTTAAATTACAGTTTTAAAGACTAAGGGCATGAAGCACGAAAAAGCAAGAAGCACTTTTATTAATGCACCCCGTAATAATGTTGAAATTGAGAATCTTGTAATTATCATAAGTGCTAACAATTAAATATTTTAATTGTGCGTCTCTCAATTATTTTTGTGGAAAAGTAGTTCAAGATTTGTGTAAGTTCAGGGTAGGTAAATCCAAACTATAAAATTATCGGTGAAAGCCAATTTTCATTAAAGGTTTATGCAGTTTTCACAACCTCACACAGAAAAGTGCAGATTTTACATTTTTGTTCGATTTATGCTTTAATCACAGCAGTTATATCATCTGTGTCAAAATTGTATTAAAAAATTACTCATCGCTTAGTTTTCGCACCGAAACCCTCATTTATATTGTTCAGTTTTTAGTATTATAACTTGAAGCATTTGGTTGTAAAACTAAATTTTCTCAAAAAATTCGAAACATTTTTGTATAATAAGGTGCGATTAAAAAGCTCGGATAAACATAAATTTTAATCTATGCAACAAATTTTCTATTTAAATAAAAATTTTCAAATCAATCGCAGTGAATTAATCAAAAATTTGGAAAGAGCAGTTTTCACAGAAGGACCGTGACACAGATAAGTTTTAACTCTATGTAGTTCAGATTAGTCTAATATAGTCCTATATTTCTGTAATTTTTGATAATTTATGTTAGCCTGTTTGTTTGTTTCTAGTACGGGCTCAATTTTTTTATTTTGCCATGTAAAACTGTATTCTTTAAAATGATGTAAAAATTGTGTACCCTAAGATTCAAAAATTTTCCGACAAATATTAAATAAAATAATAATAAATATTTATTAAAAGTTATTTTTTGCATGAAATTATTTTTGGATAAGTGAATTGTATAATTGCGTTCAAAAATTCGCTTAAAAAACTTCTCGAAATATGGCGAAATGCGCAAAAAGTAAAATTTACATAAGAGTCCTCACTTTGGACCACTTTCCTTACCAGACTATTGGGACCCTATTTCACAGATTGCAACTCCTCCCTGTATTTTGGGGGTCTGAAATCCGAATCCGTTAACAAAAGGTATGTTTATTCAGTAAAAATACGTTTTTGTGTCTGATTTCGTAATTTAAAATACCGTCTGCTCAAATTAATAAGCATATTTGAGGTTACTCCTTCGAATCATTACGAATGACTCCTAGAACGAGCATTAGATCAAAAGTTATTAATGGTGGTCCCCGTTTTTAATTTTGTACACTCTACATTTTTCCGAAATCCATATAAATAAAGTTGAATGTTTATACACTGTCCAGTCACATTTATATGACCACTTACTTTCGACGTAAACGTGAAATAACCACCCAAAGAAAGCAGGTGGTCGCACAATGCAGCAGAGCGTTTGAAAGAATAGAAAAACATTGCTATCATTGGCGTTATGCAGAATCGAAGCAATTTATTCCGCGTTCGAAAAGGCATGATCATTATTTTTCGAGTTAAGGATGGAAGTATTTCCGAATGTAATTTGCAAATCGTAATCTTGAAAACTGTTAGCGTGCCAGCAGAGAAATAGAGTACCGTGCATAGCTAAATAGCACAATCAAAATCAGTGTGGTGGCAAATGTGGTACACCACATGCCATAGATGACAGACGTGGACAATGGCTGCTGATATACATTTTGGGCGAAAAGACGTCCAACCCTTGAACATGATCTCTCAGCTAAACCAAGGGGCTATCAACAGTGTTTCCTTAACAACAGTTCAACTAGCGTTTCTGCATTGTACGCAGCAGATGTCTAGTTAATGCAACTATGCTGACTGCAGTTTATAGACGGCAAAGACTGGAATTTGTACGCCAAATGGACTGCAACTGGACGTCCACTGAGTGGCAACAGGTGGCTGTTTCTGATGAAAGACGTTTTCTGCTCCATAGGTAGATGAACATTGGCTCATACGACGTGAAATGTCTGAAAATAATCTCCCCCCCCCCCCAATATATATTACTTTTTAAGATTAAATGTTACATAAATTATTGAGAAAATTTACTCAAGACAATACCTTTAGACTTAAATAAGTATAATTTTCGTTTATTTTACTTATTTTATAACCAACAAAAGAATAAATAGTTGGTCTTAAGCGTCCACACTAGCCTCTTGACATGAGGCTAGTATGAACAAAAACCATATTAAATTTTTTTTTACAAAAGTATCGATCATAATTTGCTTATGTACCATTCAAAATGAAGATAAACATTCAAATCTTAACGAGAAAAAAATACCAGATGTGTTCAATATATTGATTTATAAGCTTTTAGACAAATTTATTAAAGAATAATGTTTGCACTAGCCTCCCTCATAATATCTCCGAAAAATAGTATCCATGGAAACTGTTAAATATTTTGATATTTGCTCACTGAATCTAAAACGACAAATATTGAATATTTTCAAGAGTTATTGCTTTCAATGATACAAAACTCGATTCTAAAATCTTAATCCCTGAAATGGGGGGAAAACTTCAAAATCTTACCCCTATCCTTTTATCGCCCATTTTTATTCTCCAGATAAAAAATACTCCAATTTGGCATACAGATTTTAATATTTTAGTTAACAGATGGCGCTACAATCGTAATATGAAAATGAGATTAAAATTGTTTTAAATGGTAACAGCTGGAGAAATACTTCTCATATCAAAAAAATACCGTCAAATGCATTTGTAAATGGTATGATCAAATGCCTCTCGAAAAAATTCAAGTGAATGGGTGTGGGTGGTTAACTGAATGTAAACAATAACAAGCTTCCTAAAACGGGAAGAAATTTAGAAAACTTCCAGTGTATCCCTCCGCTTATGCTTACGAGGTAATGTGTGAACAGGCTTTATCCTAGGAAGTTTTGTTATTGTGATTTGTGTTCATAAATTTACTCGTAAATTTTACCATTAATAAGAGTTTTCTGTAATTTGTAAATTCTAATAAGTCGTCAGCCGAAAAAAAAAATTTAGAAAATTAACATCACAACATAAATAAAACGTAATGTTTGCCATGTTTTGAGTGTTATCTCCTATATGGCTATATTTATGTAAAATATCCTAGTTTGCTATTTTTTTGGGTAGTATCATAGCATGCTGTGAAATTTTCCGAATTCATTTGTTATTTTTTTTTGTTAAGAGTTAAGTAAAAATAACGTGTTATATGGTAGACTCTACAATTACAATATTATGGAATGGCGAGCTTTTTCAAGCATAGGCGTAAAAATCAATCGGAAGTAGTAACCCGGCGACGAATTTTTACCCCTGGCGCCATCTGTGAGTAGCTTTACGCGGTCAACCATCCAAATCCTTTTTTTTTTTAAAAAAAACTTTACTATATTTTTCGGACCCTCTGTATTTATGGATGCATTGATGCATATTGTTGAGAGGTCTCAGCGTTATTTAAATTTTTTATAACTATTCATTGCAACAATGATTCACACCAAATACATGTTAAAAAACAAGTAAAAGTAAATATCTAAGCTACGCAACAGTTATGGTTACAACTGATTTGTCTATTCAGTGGCCCCCTCAAGCTCTTGGGCGTATTCTTGGGCAAATTCTAAATTCCCCCCAAACTATTCGTTTTATTTAGTGTAAAAATTCCCCCCAAGCTTTAAGTGGGCGTATCGTGCGCCCACCTTCCCCCCTGATGGGGGCCCCTGTGTCTATTTACGATTATAATTGAAATCGAGATTCTTTAACAAGATTATAATCAATATTATGCCTCGAAATGAGTTATTCTTTGTATATAAAACTTTTTTTAACAAGTTTTCCGACATATACCAATACCATATTTCACATTTATAAAATCCTTTAAGGTATAAGAAGACGCCCTAAGGTAGAAATAAGTATATATATGTTTTGGTATCCACACAGTCTGACTAAGGCAGGGGCATACGGGGCAGTTGCCCCAGGCTCTCATGTCAGAGGGGACCCTCAAATCGAATAGACGATTTATTTCCTTCCTTAATGAACTTTTTTTAAACAAAATATCAGTACAGTGTAAAATCCGTCAGTTTTATGTTAGCTTCTTCATTAATCTATCGTATGAACACAAAAAATCTATATTTCGCAAATCCATGGCTTTGCTTTCTAGGGCGCAATTCAGCTAATTTTTCGCAATTAACATGAACACATTTGGCGCCAAGCAAAAGCCTGTAGTTTTACATGCAGCGAAATGCGATATATTTACAAAAATACGGGCTTCTGATTGGCTTGATTGAGCCATCATAATTGCGAAAATTCAGCTGAATTCCGCCCTAATGTCAGCAAGGATATGAATTTTTCGCATTTAGATGACAATCAGAAAGCTGCATTCGGCATGATGCATTCGACTAGATTAATAATATTGTCAAGAAATCAATAAAATGGACAGAACGATAATTCGTCAGACCATTGCAGAGGTGGGGGGGGGGACTTTATGCCGATTTCAAGTTCTAGTCAATTTTCTTGTTATGTTATCTATAATGAGGTGAAAAATTTAAATACCTCCATGAAGTTCAGTTTTTCATTACTGAAGTAGTGAAGCAGAGAGAGAGAGAGGGGGGGGGGGCAAAGAAGTTTTTACCCCGGGCCCCAATTAGGTTAAGTCGGGTTCCAGCAATCGCCATCAAGAGCAAGGTGGAAGAAAATGATATCACTAAATCAGTTTAACAACTAAACTAGTGTACGAAAAATAAAATAAAAAATACTTTTGAATGAATAACTAAACTTAGAGATTACTTACTCGATGAGTTGTTTTTGAGACTGATTTGCTATGTTGGCGCTTGTTTTGGCGACAAATAGCTCTATTCTTATAATAATCCGCTGTATATCTCATCTTGATAAGTTTCTTTTTCAAACATAAAAAAGTGGTTTCGATGAAAGCTTAAGCAATGATAACAGCTTAGAAAATAAAATCCCTTATCTCTTTAAAAAAAATACTCACAGCATTTACTCTTAGAGGTAAGTCGATTTTTGTACTTCATTACAATGCTAGATTAAATCTTATCTTCAATCATTATTTTTTTAAGGTGATAAAAATTTAACTTCATTTGCATTATCTTGCGCAAAAATATGCATTTCGAAGTACATTGCACATGAAATTTAAAGCTGAACTTGTAGAGAGAGAGGGACAGTAAAATGATAGGGAAGCAGTGTTCGTTTGTTTCTTTATAAGTGAAATTTTCAAATATAAAATTTTTCATGGATGGGATAAAAAAAATGCAACTTATGGCCCAGGTACTTATTTATTGATTTTGGAATCAAAAATAAAATTTAATAAAAATAATAAAGAGAAAAGATTTGGACAAATTCTAATTGTTATTTTAAAAAATTGCTATCGACATTTTAAACTATTCCACAAACACCATAAATAGATAATAAAATAAAATAATAATTCAAAAAGTAGGGGCGAATTAAAAAAAAATAGAAAATAAATAATTCCATTTTTGCCTCTTTTAAAAAAGACATGAGGAGAGTCCTATATGTTTCGTTTTAGGTGTGAAAAAAATAGAAATGTTTCAATTATTATTATTATTAAGAAAGAAATTTTTTGTACTGTAGCATTGTCATTCACCACAGAGCTCCCATTAAAATGTGACCACTCTGACCATTTATTCCATTTGTTAATAATATGGTATTAAAACGTTAAAATGTGTTTGCAGAGATAGAAAAAAATTAAAACTTTTTCTATTATTTACCACAGATATCAAATTAAAGTTTGAGTGCTGCATCCAGTCGGAAAGGGAACATAGCGTCACGTATGTGGATTGCCTACAATACAATAGTTTCTAGTGATTTTGCAGATTTTGATGTTTTCGTATTTCTTCGCTTAAATATTAATTTGCAATACTAAATATATAAGCTCTTTTTTTAACTTCATTTTGAAAAGTGAATTTAAAATCGTATATTAGGAAAACCTTGTACATAAAAAAAATGCAAGCAGAGAAAACAAGGAGATAGGTTGATAGAATTTAAATTCGTTTAAAGTCTTATAAATATTTCAAATAAAAAAATTATCCCTTTCATGGAGAAATAACCTTGCAAGTTATGAAATAGTTATGCTGTTAGCATGGATTGCGATGACTCAATGGTTAAAAGCACCGAGCTGTCTTTGCAAAGGACTGGGGTGTGATCCTCTGGGAATGGGTGAAGCCCACCCAGTTTCAGGTCCAGCTTGTTTGGGATGTAAAGTTGGTCTAGGCGTAATACTGAGCATCTTACCATACGCAAGACAAAATTCTTGATGGTCCCATTGAAAAATTTTGATGGTTTATGTTGGTTTAGGTGCGATTCATGATGATCCAACATCATTTGATGGTCACCATCATCTGACATTTTCCATTACGTGTTCATGGTTTTTGATATGCCAACAAACTTCCAACATTCCATGATGGAAAATGCTACTTTAATAATATGATGGTTAGCCATCAAGAGAAGTTTGACTCTCGTGAATCAACAACAGGTTCATGATGGTTCCAACTATACATTTACATGACGGTTTAATGGGAATTCTTGTTGGCTCTCAGGAATATACCATTAGAACAATAAGGGTTTCTTTTTTATGTTGGACCATCGTAAATCAGTCCAAATTCCTGCATTGGGATGGTGGTGGTTCATGATCGTTCTAACATCTGATTTTTAAGATACTATGATGGAAATTCGTGTTGGTTCAACATGAACAAACTATCAAAACAAGTTGCTATTCTTACGTTAGACCATCATAAATCAGTCCGAATTCCTGCATTGAGGTGATGGTTACTTATGTTGGTTACCATCAAAAAATATAATGGTTCATGATGGAATTATTGATGGCTACCATCAAGGTTATGTTGGTCCATCAATGGAAAACCATCAAAAATTTTGACTTGGGTAATCATGCCTTTGGTTATGAAATTTGTGGAGCCTTATTCCCCCTGATCTTCATGGCCATGCAACGGAAAGCTTTACTTTTTTATTAATATTATTAGTATCGTTATTATGAAATTTGTGCCAACTAGATTTTATGTTTGTATGGCTTAAATATTCTTTTAATTTTTTTTTTCTTTTCAGATTAAGTCTTTGCAAAATGGAAATATTCATTTATTTGATTCTAACAGCTATTTGGTGGGTGATATCACTTTCTGTCTTATTGCCGTTTCTAGTTTTATTGCTGATAAGCGAAACAGTCAAAGATAAGTGGCTAACTTTTATCTTCTTAAAAGTATGCGGACCACGATTTGGACCAAAGTTTGTACCAATGCGTAAGCAACTTTTCAAGCTTTTAGAAGAACATCTGTCGAAGCGAAACAAATCTGTCCCGTTAAAAATGTTGGAAATTGGAGTAGGGGGTGGTGCAAATTTGCAATTTTATCCTGAAAATTCTTCTCTGACAGCCTTAGATAAGACTCCTCCTACACTGTTCGATAAAAATAGAAAAAAATTTCCTCATGTGAACTTGGATGGAATCGTTGTGAACTACGCGGAAGATATGAAGGAAGTCCCGAGTGGTGTTTTTGATGTTGTTGTTTCTATGCATGTTCTATGTTCTGTAACAAGTGTTGATTCTGTTATGAAAGAAGTAAAAAGAGTTCTCAAACCTGTAAGTATTCCAAGTACTATTAGGTGATTGCGAAAATTCGAATCTGGTTTGAATTGCGTTAAAAAAAGGGGGGAGCACTGTTATATATCCGGTGAGACTGCAAAGGAGTGCGACCGACAAATAACTGTGACAAAGTATATTGAATCAACTCAACTGATTTAATTTTGAAATCTAAACTAAATATTTATGTTTGGTTAATACAGATAACATCTTTATTTATTTATTTTTAAGATATACATACGGCCGACACATAAATCGTTAAAAGGGTAAATTTTCCATATTCACTTCATGTTTTTGATTCGGATTATTATTCATTCTGCTTTCAGCAAAAATAATTTGAAAGGCGAAATGATAATACTAATTCTGCTGACGAACTCAGATTCGTTAAAAATATTTTTTTTTAAATATTCAAGCTGATTAAATTTTATTTAGGCTGATTTAATTTTATACAGACTGATTTAATTTTATACAGGATGATTCAGTTTCATGCAGGCTGATTCAATTAAGCAATAATAAATTGGAGAGGAGTTAATGATTGAGAGTTGCACAAGCCCATAACCAGAAATGCCATAGTAGTATTTAGCTACAGGTGTTTTTCTTGAATTGGTTGTTCGTGAGCCTTTAAATTGGAACTTTTATTATCAGAATTATTTTAATTTCATGTTTTCTAATAATGATTGTAGATTCCAATAGGTCATGAAATAGCTGAAAGAAATGATTTTATTGATGTGGAGACCAACTAGGTGAATTTGTTAAGTTAGTCCCGAAATCATTAAGTTAGTAAAGCATTCATTAAGTTAATCAACTATTTCTCAACCTATTTGAATAGAATTACTAACACTAATTATTAGAAAACTTGAAATCAAGGTAATATTCAATACAAGTTTGTACACGCTTAGCTGAATCACCCTGAACATAAGTATCGTACTACTATAAGTATTTTGCTAAACGAAGTTAAGAATGAAACAATACAACGAGAACAAAGCATAAATAAAGGTACAGAAATGGACATGATGTAGTTTTAGTCCGGTAATTACAAACCTTTATCAATGTCTGAACTCAAAATTGTTTAATTGTTTGTATTTAGACACTGAAGAAGGTTCTTGTTTATAATACTGAAACTATATATAGTACACAGTTGGAATTTTCCTTCAAAAATTATTCTGAAGTAACCGGTAGTGGTCGGTCCATACAATTAACCGTAAAGTTTATGGTAAAGAACATTTTTTATCTTTTCGGTTTTGAAACCGTTTACAAGTTGTCTGTTTCAAAAACAGTGAATACAAAACTTTACGGTTTTTAACCATTTACAACTATCATAATTTTAGAACAGTGAAAAAGAAATTTTACTGGGCATTAACAGCTTTATTTAGTTGTCATCTGTGTGTGAATGAGAGTATCGTATTCGTTACAAACTAATGAAGTATAGGACAGTGGCAATTCCTTATTTGTTGAAGGAAAAGGAGGAAATATTGGGGTGTCAACGCTGGGACTGGAACCCCCGTACTGTTTGTTATAGGACTGACAGATTAGCTCTTTTTGCTCATTTGTATCATTCTGCAAAGAACTAAGTGACTTCATTAGGTGGGATTATTTAGTGCGATAAAATTCTGGTTGTTTAACAGTATTAGTTGAAAGCAGACGATAAAGAAATTTTCTCTCAATTAACAGTCTGAATACAATTTTATTTATGGTTGTTTGGCTGTTTTGTTTGAATATGGTAAAACAATGAGATAAATTGTTATTTAACAATTTTTTCGAGAAATTTCTAGCAGTGTATTTCTATTTCTGCAACTTTACTTGTGCTTTGTTCTCGTTGTTTTGCTGTGCTGCAAAGTTTACCACATCTTGAATCTGGATAGACCAATATAATAAAGAAATGATTTTCCAAAAAGAAAACCATTATGGCTCTTAATTTTTTTATTTTTATTTATTTCTTTATTTATTTTACCAAATGTATTATTTTGAGTTTTATATAACTCTAAACCTTATAGACTTAGATGAAGAATATTGTTTAGTGCTACAAAATCAGCTCGGTTCATCGTTTTTGCGAACTAACTACTAGATTGGTAAAAAAGCTTTTGTAGATACAACCTCAAAGGGTTACAAACATGCAACACATTGAAAAGCGAAAGAAAACCACGTGGATAATATGTTATTGATCAATACTCTTTTTTACATAAAAATGTGTTGTATTTTCTTTGATTTCAAATATGGTTCCCGAAATTTTGCAATCACCTGATATATCAGCTCAATTTTAAATGTTTTTACTCTCAATTAAATATTATCATATAAGATAATAATAAACTTCATTATTGCACTGGCACTTAAATAAAGAGTCAACGCCCGCCTCACTCCGACGGAAATACGAAAACTTAACGAACAATGTAAGTGGGCTGTATTTAATGTTGAAAGTGAACGAAGCGTGAATGATAGAATTTCACATAAACAGAACAGGACATCTAATTAAAAAATTTAACAATAATTAATGAAACAATAGCGTTAAAAGCAATGACGCGTAAAATACAAAGTAGCTGATCTCAATCTTATCAAAGCACGTAATAGAAACAAAGTTCTAAAACAATTAAAATTTCAAGTATTTAAATATATTTGAAGACAATATGCAATTGATCTTATCGCATGCTTTTTTAGTATATTTGTCAAAGTTAAAGCTATTAAGGCATACATACTATATAGTGAGAAAAATAAAAAAAAGTGAATAACTTTTGATCTAATGGTTAGATTTTTCCCATACTAGTACTTAATTTTAATGTTTCGAGGGCTTCACTTTTAAATTTGCTAATTAATTAGCGTAGACGATATTTTAGCTTAAGAAGTACAGAAACGAGTTTTGGTTTTGATTTTTTTTTCGAGCACAAAAACGAACCGCTTTACGATATCTCAAACAAGTTTGAACCGATATACTTTTGAAATTTTAAATCGAATAGTTTCTGAGTTAGCAAATTATAAAAATGTTGTATATTTGCAATGTGATTTTCAGAGAATTATACAACTGATTTTATTCAAATATTTGTAATTTACTACTTAAAATTTTGTTCTCTAAATTGAAATAAAAATTGCACGAAAATTGGAAATTTGTGTGATTATATTGAATGAAATAATAAAGAAATCATTTTAAAAATAATTTTTTGCATTGAATTGTCTTTGACTAAACAAATTTTTTAATTGCGCACAAACCTTTTTTGATTCAATTAAAAAATTCTTGAGATATTTTGAAATACACAAAAAGTAAAATTAACATTAAGGAGACTAAACTTTTGACCGATCCCTGACCTGTTGGGTCCATATTTCCAAGTTAGCGGCTACCTCCCATATTTTGAGGATCAAAATTCCGAATCCATTAAAAAAAAACGTTCATACATTTATCAGAAAAATACGTTTTTATGTCTGTTTTTTTAATACTTAAAATATCTTCTGTTCTAACTGGCATATTTAAGTTTATAAGGTCTCGATTAATTATATATTGGCACTTGATTCTCGAAAATCAAATCATTAGATCAAAAGGCATTCAGGGTGTTCACTTTTTTACTTTGCATATTGTACGAAAGTGTCGGATATCATACAAAATTATAGCAATATTTAAGTGAATTATGCGCATGCAGTGCACTAGTGGAATTTTATATGGTATAGAAAATGATGGCTCAGGGGATAGAGCGTTCGCTTTCCAATGAAGTGATCCGGGTTTGAATCCCAGAGAAGGCTAGTCGATACGAATTCCACAGTGGTAGACGGGTCATATGTTAGAGTCCCTTTGTCACCTGGCTAACCGTGGGAGGTTCTCGTGGTCTTCCTCTCCATGTCACGCAAATGCGGGTTAGTTCCATGAAAAAGTCCTCCACGAAGGCAAATTTCTCCCAATACTTGATCCAGGAGTTCCCTTGTCTTCCGGATTGGGTTCAAAATTACCAGGCTACGGAGTAGAACAGTAGTCATAATCCGTCCCGCAGTGGACTGATCGTTAAGACACGGTTCCCAGCAGATCACCGAAGTCAAGCATCATTGGCTACGGTCAGTGTGCGGGTGGGTGACCACTTGGATCAGTCTGCGTAGGGACCGAGGGTGTGCGGTATCGGTCCTCGTTAAACTGTGCTACCGTAAAGTGCTCGACTTCGCGCGCAGGTCGTCGGGCTACCGAAGCGGGGGTGCCATCCCCTCCGCAGAGGATCAAAATTGTGATGGCATGTCTTCGGATCATCCTCCGGGATGTTTCCCAGACCGTCGCCAATAGCCCATTGTGCAGCTCTAGTGCGACGTAAATTAACAACAACAAGTAGTCATAATCCCGAAATTGAGTCGGCTCTTCAAATATGGTTATAAAATATAAAATAAAATAGTATGGAAAAAGAAATGATTATTTGTTGACTTTTTTTTTAAAACAGAATAGGATACAACCATTTTCATTCAACCGTAATCATTTCTTTAAACTTTAAACAGATTGATACATCAAAATTAAAATTATTCAATAAAAAGATTTTGAGATTTGGTTTCAATAAATTTAATTTCCGATTCTTATGAGATTAAATCTCAACGTGGCAGCAGGCAGAGCTCCGTGCACAATGTTCATAACATATTTGATGACTTCAGAATCATTTGTTGATAATTTCGTTTACCAAACAGCCCAACAATTTTGAGCGCATCTTACAATACTTTGAGCACAGTCATTAAGGATTTAATCATTTAATAACTATCACTAACTCTAAGGAATTAATATAATAATATATAAATTTAACGACGTAATTAAGCAGTAAGTTTGACCATGATTGAAAATTTGTTTTTTCCCACTAGTTTTATATTTATTCAATTTATTATACAATATATCGTATTTATACAAGAAAGATAAGATTTATAATCTAGTACTAAAGCAGGATTACCTGATAAAATAATGAAATGTAACAAACAACTATTTTTAATTTTCCCTAGTAAGTAGTATGAAAAATTTAAATAGAACAGAAAATAATATTGCAACAAGTACATGAAAATGAATTACCAGAAAGTGTAAAAGAATATCAAATGATTGTAACGAAATTTATAAACTTTATTTTTAGGATTATTATTTTTCATTTTACTAAAAATCAAAAAAAAAAAATAGTTGAAACGTCAAAATAAGATAATAAAAAAATGAAATATTTCGAAAATACTTAAAGATAACTTCAAATATTGTATGTTAAATGTCTTTTTAAAAAAATTAAAGATAATAAAAATATTGTTAAGGAAGAATTAACGATATCACTTTTACTTAATTTTCAGCTGATGACAGCTAAAGACTTCCGGATCTTCATTAAATAAAGAGCTTATCACGTGATCATTCTGGCTCATAACAATATACCGACAACAATGAGAAATGGTTTTAGATAATCAAGGATGATAAAGTTTTTTTTAAAATCATATAGACATCATAGAGATATTATTATGATAAATGTACAGAGTAATAATCTATCGAATTTCTAAACATTAGTAGGTTAGATTGAAACTAATACTTTCCATGCAATAAAAATATGGTTAGCCACAATAACGATTAATCCTTATTTCGTTTTGAAAAGAAGTTTTTATTGTTGCACAGGGGAATGATGAATATTTTGCTACATTGGAAACGACAGTTTATAGGGATATTTTTCAGCTCTTAAAATTGAAAGGTGAAAATTCAATTCTAAAAAGAAACTAATTAAGAAATTAGTCTATAGTTTCTAGCTATACGTCTTCTTACCCTTCCAGGAGACAACAATCTCACCTATCTTTCCTAGAGAAACTCTATAAAGCAACGTTTCATAAGTAATTAACTCTTTCGATACTGGATGGACATTTAGGTACACTACTTGGTCAAATAGCAGAAAGAAAGTTATGCATTCTTCCTTAATCCTTTAATGCAGAAATTTTTCATACAAATTAAATATATTTTTCATACTTTTTCCATTATTTTGTATTAATTTATGTCAAAATGAGTGAAAAATATTACATTTAGCATATTAATAATTTATGGTTATGAGATACACCATGACACACCGATTCTGCGTTAAAAGTAAAATCTTCCAAACACGGCTCACTTTCTAACGAATATTATACAGGGTGGTCCCGAATTCATGGTACAAACTTTAATGGTAGGTACAGGACATTGTAACAATGATTTATTGTATAGGAATGTATAGTCGCAAGTGACGCGGTGAGGCGTGAACAGGGGAAATAAAAGGAAAGAGAAATGGAGTGATCGGTTGGTATCATTGCCGGTAGAGGGCAGTAGTGTGCAGTTTGGTGCTCGATGGATTGGGCGTGGTGAACCAATCCCTTGGCCACCCCGATCTCCCGATTTATCGAGCCTCGATTACTTTTTATGGGGACATCTAAAGCATCTTGTTTATGAGACTCCAGTTGACTCAGATGAGGATCTCGTCGCTCGCATATCTGTAGCTGCTGCAGGTGTGCGTGAAATACCAGGCATCTTTGAACGTGTACGCCAATGGCTCCACCGACGTTGTCAAGCATGTATCGATTCTGGTGGACGCAATTTTGAACACTTACTGTAAACATGACACTTGTCAACAACGCTTTCAATAAAATCTTTGTTTTTCCTTTCGGCCGTTATTTCTCCAGTTTACGCCTCACCACGTCACTTGCGACTATACATTCCTATACAATAAATCATTGTTACAATGTCCTGTACCTACCATTGAAGTTTGTACCATGAATTCGGGACCACCCTGTATATAAGCAATGTTTCGGAAGTAATTAAATCTTTCGAAGTAGGATAGGAATTATTGCGCACTTTGTCAAATGGCAAAACGAACTCGTAATGGCCGTTGGTTACGATTCCACGAGAATTATGGTATGGAAAATTTACTACAGAAATTTATAATTTATTAAAAACGGAAAAGCTTTTCGTCTTTTGTTAATATTGTTATTTAGTAGAAAATAATTTTTTACCTGTTTATTTATTTTTTACTTATTTCTTCACAGGGAGGCAAGTTTCTTTTTATGGAACATGTTGCTTTTCCAAAAACTCAAGCAAGCTACTACATTATCCAACTGTTTGCAACACCATTGTGGGCAATTTACTTTGATGGATGCTTCTTGAACAGAAACATTACTGATTCAATAAAAAAAGCTGGATTTAGAGATGTGCATTGCGAACACACCTATATACCATTCTTACCAATATTTTTTCGGCCACATATTTCTGGAATCGCCACACTGTGATAGCACATTACTTTATTTAGCATATCACAAAATTTATTCTAAAAATGAGGTAACTCATATGTTATGTGTAAATATAGTGACGTCACGAATATAATGAGATAAACAGGACTTTATAATGCGATTGGATGAAATTCTCTCATTTCAATTAATTCGAACGTATTATATAAAATACAATCATTTAAAAAAAGCTTTTGTAAACAATTGAAAAATGTTTTATAAATATCTTTTATTTTATCAAAATTCCAAATAAACCATTTAATATATATCCATATGTATCTGAAATGTAAAATAAGGAAGGAGAAAAAAAAACTAAAGGGTAACAAAAGAGAACGTACACAATCTTGACCTGTCACTTGGGAATAAAAAAAAAAGAATATGTTATTAATTTTTTTTTTGGCCCGGCTAGCTAAGGATGTGAAATAATATTCGCTATTGCGACGAACTATAGGGGGCGTTGTTGTATGAGACGAATTCCTGCGATTTCCATATGAACAGTCATACAGTTACTCTAGAGACGTCTTTAATGTATCGTTTAGCATTGTAACGTCCCTTCTTTATTGTGGCTTATTAATTTTAAAAGATAAAAAAATTTTATATTGCAAGTTTGTTGATAATAGAAGTTAAAAATTATTGAGAACTTTTTCTTCAAATGTTTGGCGTGAATTTCTGAAAGATTTACCAATTATCTGGATAGTTTTTTCAAGTTCTTCTGCCCTTTTCTTAGGGAAATTTTGCTTCTTATTTACTGCTAAAAAAATGGCATCCGAATTTGCCAATGATCACGATAGAACTATATGAAAACTTAATAAATAAATGCCTGATATTTTCAGGTTCCGCTAGAGGGCGTACTCAAGCGTACCATTTGAAATAGTTAATGTGGACATTGTAGGACTTATTGGTTCACCTTCTACCAGAAAAAATAAATATGTTTTGTGTATATTCGATCAACACTTCTGCTGGCTTGAAGCAATTCCTTTCACGATCGCTAACTGCTGAAGGTTCTTTTGGAGATTTTTGTGAGAACTGGAATACTACAGATGATCGAGAACAGTTCCCTTGCCGTCAGGCTAACCAATTAGTTCCATTAAAAAGACCACGAAAGCAAATTTCTCCCAATGCTTGATCCAGGAGTTCCTTGGTCTTCTGGATTGAGTTTTAAATTACAAGGCAAGAGTTGAACATTAATAGTCGTAAACCCAAAATTGGGTTGACTATTCAACGACTGTTATGAAATTAAATTTAAAAAAAAGATCACTAGCGACCAGAACACCGATTTTGTATCAAAAATTACGCGAATGCATAAATCGTCTTGGATCGTCCCCACGATCATCAGTTCTGGGATATGCTACAAGCAGTGACCTGGTAGAAAATTATAACAAAGCACCCAAGAATGCTCTGGATCAGTGGTAATCAAAGTTTTTCGGCTACGGAGCCCTAAATGATAGAACCTCGTCTGACGGAACCCCGACTTTATATGTATAAAAAAAAGTTCTTTACGAGCTGTAAATACACTAACCAAAAAGAAATACTGCTGATTATTTGATTATTTTGAAAATATTTAAAGTGAAAGAAGAACAAAATAATTAATCAAGACAAAATTACGAAGCATTATTACGTGTGTACTTTCTGAAAATAGATAAAATAAACTGAATTATTTTTTTAAAAAAGAGAATTGCTATAAACGTTGAGAGTAAGCATCAGAGAAACTCAATTTTTTATTTTGAATTTGGTTATTTATTTCGAAATAAAAAACCTCGATGAAAAAGTCTTATGCAAATTTTTTATCAATGCATATCAATTTCAAATTTATTTAATGTGTTATTGAAAACGGTAATTTTTTCATCGTTACTTTACAAAAATAATTTCATGCGAACAACGGAAATATCAAGTAAGTTATGGATTGTTGTTATTGTAGCTATACAAATCATAATAGCCAATAATAATTATACAAATATAATTATTATTGGTTAAAGAAATCCTCACTCTCGGAACCCTAGTGATCTTTCAACAGAATCCAAGGGTTTTGCGAGTCTAATTTTTTTCGGTAGTGGAACCCTAAAGGATCAAATTTTTTTTGGCGGAACCCCGAGACTAGATTAATAAAACTGTGAACATATTGATTGACGAAAAAATATTAATTATTTTGAAAATATATAATGATCTAAATTTTATTAATAATTTTGAGGATATTAAATGAGTGAAATTTGTTCCCCATATCGTTATTAGTCTAAAAATTTAGGTCTTATGCAAAACAGTTGAATTTACAGGATTGGAGCGGCATTTAATCTAGTTCTTAAATTCGTTGAAGTGAAATGTATGAGTATGAACATGTTAACTGAATATGTAATGAGTATAAATATGTTAACTGAAAATGAATGAGTTGAAACATAGTTTGCGTTAAAATAAAAATTAGAAGAAAAAGAAACGAAATTAATACTGTTACAAATCTTTTGGAAAAATTGGTTAAATAACAATTTATTTAACTGTTGTTTAACCATATTTAAACAAAACAGTCAAATAATCATAAATAAAATGATATTCAAACTATTAGATGTGAGAGAAACCGTTTATTAACAGCTTTCACCTAATATGGTTAAACAAATGGATTTTTATCGCACAAACTAGACCCACTCAATGAAGCCACTTAGTTCCTTGCAGATGGGTACATATTATAGCCGAAAGAACTAATATGTCAGTCTCATAATCGAGACAAACGGAGGTAGAGTCCCAGCGTTTACACCACAATATTATGACTCAGTGTTGTCACCATTCCGCTCACAAGTTTCCAGTGTCCTGCGCTCCTTAATTTGTGACATTGGCTATTAGAATACGATACTCTCATTCACGCATAGATGGCAGCACTGTAAAGCTGCTGAATTATCTCCAATGTCCAGTTAAATTTCTTTTTCATTGTTTTGAAACCATGTTAGATGTAAATGATCATAAAAGGTAAAAATTTGTACGACATTAAAAATTCCAGAAAATTAGAACTAGAAGATTTTTAATCACATATCGCTATCATTCATACTAAAATTTTGGATTGTTGAATTAAATATTAAACGAATTCGCGGTTTCCTATCATAATTAAAATTTCTAAGATTTCAAAGACTGTCATGCATGATATTCCTAAAAAAAGTCCTAGACTTCCTCCTAAGCTGCTGAGAAATTCAGAAATATCATACAGTGGCTTGTGTTCGATTATTACCTTTGTAGTTTCTAGATGAATTTTCAAAAATGCGTAATCATTTTTGAACGATTTTAAATCTTTGCTCAGATTGAATTTAAGACTCAGATAACTGTCAAAATATTTTCTAGAAGGCCATGATGATCTCCATACTTGCTCGTTGTAATCTATAGAAAAGCAAGGTACATTGCAGTTACAGCTCACGTGATGGATTAGAAGATTCTCGATGACATTGTCCAAGCACCGAATGTGTGTAATGTTGGTCATATCACAAGATAAAGTATCTTCTAAAAAAATATCGACCGTGGGATCAACGCAACCGCATTTTTCATGATTAATTTCCTGTATGCAAAGCAATATACAGTCTCTGGGATTCGACCGATAATTCATGCATTTATCTTCATATGGAGCTGGTAGACGTTTGGTTTCAGCTGATTTAATTTTTATGATTGTCTCAAAGCCAGGACTTACAAGCACACCTTTTTCTTCCATTCTAGGCTCTTCGAACGTATGATGAATAGTAGCCAAAGCTCCCATACTCTTAGAAATGTATGTAACGTAAGAACCGGTTTCCAAATTTAAGATTATTTCTAAATCATTATTTAAAAAGAACGAAGATTTGTTCGTTAGTCTCTTATCACGGAATAAAGGTTTAAATGTAAAACAATTTCCAAATTGTATATTTTGAATAAGTTCAAAGTCGTCAGCTGTACAAACGATCCCTTTAAAAGAACAATATTGAATGAAATCTTTCGCTTGAGTTCCATATGCTTTTCGCGCTACCGCGTCTAATTTAGTATAGCTTTTGAGGAATTCCATCGTTTTTAACATTGATGGGATTAATGTGCCGTTTGAAACAGATGCATATAAGGTTTGACTAATAGGCATTAAAAATTGAAATAAACCAGCACCTTCGATCTCATCACTTATGCCAGTAGAATTGCAATATTCTGGTGTTATTATTTCGTTAATACAAATTTCGTAAATCTCTTTCATAGGATTCAAGTTGCAAACAGTAATTGCTGGATGTAGATTGCTATTTTTGTCATCGTTAGTTACGACAACTACAACTGGATATTTGAAAAAGAAGTTGATAAAATTAATAATTTGATATAATGAAGCAAAAATTCCCGCTAAAAAAATGAAGGTCCATAATATCTTGAACGATCGGTTATTTGATTCAAGGACTTTTGAAAGAGCAATGATACTTGTTCGAGAATGTCGTGAATAAAATATTGACACTTTTTGGAATATTTTCTTTAAATATATCATTTCTATAAACAAGTTTGACAACTTGATCGTTAAGTGTTAGTTTTGAGTCAGTAATCAAAGTTTGTAACCAATACGCAAGTGATCCATGTGGGCTTTTCAATGTTTAAAATGAGTACTTTTTAAAGTGAAAAACGCCGCTTAATTATATTTTGAGTCAGTGGCAAGTGCCGTCTACGTTTTCAGCCAATACGTAAGTCTTCGAAGTGAGAAATGGACACTTTTTAATGTGAAAAACGCAGCATTAAATAGTTCGTACAGCTTAAAATTTTTAAAGCTATCTATTAGAGCACAAATGATTGATGTATTCTTCGATTATTGTAAGCGGTGTCTATTTTCTGAATTATTTTTTAAACGAGAATAACATTTGGTTCTATATTTATATTAATTTATTTTATTCATTTTATTGATTGTAAACCAGTTCTTAAGTCGTGCTGAAATGAATAAAAAATTTGTTCGATACTAATTTTATGTCATTGTCAATTTTAACGATTTTCAATATATTGTAAACCCATTTTAAAACTACATAAATAATCTTTCTCCGTTGATCCTTTCTTTGCGTGTTCATATCTTATTATACAAATTGAAAGAAATTTCAGAACGCATTGCGATATTTGCTAGTTTTCTTAATGTATTTTGAGCAATACCTTCTAAGTTATTACAGGTGA